AATGTGTATTACATTTAATGAAGATGTTTTAATTTCCCCTCTTTACCTTTGAATTTTAAAAGAACTTTTCAAGATTTATTATTCAATTAATCGGGAAAGGCGAAAACTAAAATGACTTATTTATAAATGTGAAAGCAATTGTGAATCAAATTGAAAACCCTTGCACGAATGCAATTACGGAGCTATTAAATTACACTACGTAGTTTTCCGCACAATAAATTGAAAAATGCGTGCGCTAATGCCGAAAATAAATTCATTTAGCATTCACAATTACACAATTTTACAATTTCTGTAGGCGATTATCGGTAATTGACCGATTCTGCCATTCATATAAATGGGTTACTAACTTCTGGAGGCAAATTAAACTGGGGCTCAACAATTCACTCCTTATCAAGCTGAAAAATGGACAGCAGAATGCCAGAGATACCATTTCAAATATAAAGTTCAAATTGTAAAGGACAAATGACAGAAATGATGAAATATCAAGTGGGGAACCATGAAAAATTCCACGCAAAACTTAATGGGAAATCGATAGGAGGAACGGACTTGATTTACGGCGGTTGGTTGGTCAAGAGCTTCCCCGGAAAGTCGGGGATGAAGACGTGGATGGAATCCAGTGACGTCTGCTCTGCCCGAGCAACGTCATCATGGGGGGGTGACATGGTGGTGACATGGGGGAGAGACACACTTGATGGCCTCCTAATATGGGTTATATCCACGCCATCCAAAAGCCAGCCAACCATACACGATATTCGCACGCAGCGAAGAGACGTCACGAACCTTTGGACTTGAGAATTGATAACACGCCAAAAGTGAATTCGAAACCAGTAGATCCACGCGCCGCCAAGTGGCTCCCCAATATAGAGTATATGCCCCATTCAATATCTTTTCATTTCCAGATAGACAGTGGAACTTTTAGTCCCGAGACCCAGCCGTGCTATATTTACATATTGTGAAATAGGTTCAAGCTGAGCAAGGTGTTAAAAATAGATCGGCTGCTAACAAATTTTGATAACAGATTATTTGTCTTACACGAACAAAAGGTTCAAGCTTGGTGTTTCATTTATAAATCGAAATTAACCAATTTTTTGTTCTGTAACTCTAACCGAGTTGAGTTGAAATATATAAACTGAAATGCCTTTTAACGCTTTATATTATCGTAAATTAGAGGTAAAACATGAAACGTTCTTTTATATACAAGTTACCCGGTTATACAATCGAGTTTTAAATATTAAAGCTGTTTCAAATATTTTTTGTAGGTATATAATGTAAATAAACCCTGTTAATAATTTGGATCATAAAGCTTGAAACTCGTTGTATTTTTGTATAGAAATTTCGCGTTGTGTGTTGTTGTAAACCCAGCCTTTAAATAAAAACAACACCTTTAACTTTTATTATTTTTACCATAGTATTTTAAATAAATTACTTCTATGGCACGTGTGGCTTCCGATTCGGAAGTGTAATTTATGGGTACTAAAGCGCTTGACATCTGTAGATTGCTGAAAAGCGAGAAAAAGTGAAAAATAAACTACACTTAAAGCAATAAATCACATCAGGGTTATGTGTCGCTTTTAAAATACAGCTTTCTGACCCACAAACATTTCTATTCCATAAACCCTTCAAATTCAATTACAATTCTCTGAAATACAACAACGTGTTAAGTAATATTGTCTATATAGAGGGACCCGACAACGATAAAACCCACATTAATATATATGTATATATACGTAATATATATATCTGTGTACATTCAAACTGACTTTCGTTGCGAACACTCAAGTGTCACGTTAATTTCACGCAAACGGCGGCGAAAGGGGAATCCACTTGTAAATTAGATTTGAAAATATTGCACGAAATGTTTAAAAATAAGTTAGCAGCTAATTGTGCAAATTTCGCATTTTAGCCCGCCCCCCGAAACCCAGCTGAATAATACCAATACCGATCAGCCCGTAAATCAATAAGCTGATTTGGAGCAGTATCTCCACCAAATCAAACAATCCGAGTCCAGAGTCTCGTATATTTTTTTTCCCCCAACTGGGTTGTTAACCGGGTTTGCTGTTTGTCTTTGGCTGTTTTTCGCTAAAACTGTCGAGCTTAACGCTCGCCAATCCAAATATCAGAAAAAACATGTGCATATATATATATATTTACATTTGTAGAATATGGCAATAGCTAATAAACAATCCTCAACAGCTACCACAAAAAAAAAAAAAAAGCAAATTATTTACCCCCCAACCGCTGAAAATGTGCACATTTCAAATGAAAACTGGTCGGATAGGTCGTTGGTATTCTTGAAATCGAAAAACACGCGTTGAATGAGATTTCCTTGTTGTAGCGGAACTGCTGGGCATTAGCCATTATTATTCATATCGAATGCTCTATAGTATCCAGAACGGGCTCTTGATGTAAATCAGAACAAATTCGAAGTACATAGATCATGGATTTTTATTGAAAATGATTGAGCATTCACGCGAAGCTTTGAGGGATTTCTTGTTTTATTAAACAAGTCAAAGTATGGCAAAATCGTATAGTAAGTAATACGATTTGTAATACAGGAAAGTAAGTCACTATTTGGCGGCAATATTCTTTTTGTACATTTCTACTATTGAGCCATCAATTGGAATTGATCAATCAATTGTAATTGCTTGTCTTGAAATCAAAGTGTGGGAACTTAGGGGGAATTATGGAACCCCAATCGAACCAACCTACGATCGCAAAATGATTGAACAATTTTAGCATTATTAACGATGAACACCTAGCGAGCGCGTGGTTGTTTCCTTCAAATGCTCTCCTTCTTCGATTATGAGTTCTGATAATTCAATTATCAAGCAATTAAGGCTTTGAGTGAAACGCCCCATAAAGGCACATATACTATATATCTCCGTACATAATAAAGTCGTGGCTCGAATGGGCGCCGTAATTCGGAAATTCGAAAATCAATAAGCACCAAAGCGCACAATCAATAATAATCGCAGCCCAACCGCAAACAAATAAAACACTTTAAGAAGCCCATCAGTCGTGTATATAGAGTATGTACATATGTTTGGGTTGACTAGAAGGTTTTAATATGTTGGGCAATTTTATTACAAGTTGGCTGTAGTTTCAAAACAAGTGAGGAAGTTTCGATGACAGCAAGTCATTGCAAATTAAACCCTATTTAACTTTATTGCAATTTAACAAGGTTTTAAATCTCAGAGTGCTAATGATAATTTTAGTTTTCTTCCCTTCTTTTTGATTATATAATAGATTTAAATTAGTTTACAGTACAAGATAGCAAGGCAGCTAAATTTTAAAGCATTATGATAATTTCAGTTTTCTAATAAACTATAAGAATTCGCCTTAAGTATTTTCTAGTTATGTAAAAAGCAAGCATTTTAAGCAATTGTTTGTTTAAAAGTACCCCAGTAGGATTACCTAATAAAATGTAGTAATTTCTTCAAAGAAAAAGTGTTATAAAAATAAAACTGATATGTCAACTAATTATTATTGTGAACTTATAACGAAAGGGTTTTTTCACCCTTAATTTCTGCACAATTAAATCCGTTAGCTTGGCCTCTAAAATATACGATGACACCTTCCACCTCTGTCGTCTAATGAAAAAATTCACAGCACTCCACTTTATAGGACAAACCACTCCACGAATACAAATTAGACATGCTCGAATTTCGAGTCATGACAGGCATTTGCTCATAGATACGGCCAGCTGTAGATGGTTCCACAAGGCCCCCCAAAAAACAATATAGGAGAAGAGGAAAAAACCATCAATCAAATCGAATATGAATGGAGTAGAGCGTTTGTCAGTCAGTCAGTCGGTCAGTCAGATTCAGATTCAGATGCCAAGTCCCCGGATTGATAAGGGCCAATGGAATTGCACAACCGATAAGCTAAAAACAGGGGCCTGAAGAGGCGGACCTGAATCTGAAGTGCATCGATAGGGGTTCGGGTTTTGTCCACTTCTCCGCAGCAAAGGGTTTTTGCGTTCCGATAAGGTTCTTTATTTCATTTGCGATATGGTTATCCGTGTGATGACGTCATGCACTGTGACAGTTTCTCTGGAGACATCTCCCCCTTTTGAAATGGTTTCACTGATAATGGTTATGGCTGAGTGACATCTACCTCCCATTCCCACTTCCCCACCATAAGTAATTCTTTCCAAGTTCTGCCTCCCCAGCCGATAAATCACGCGGCCTCTGAACGGCAGATTAGCTCGCGCAAATTGGCCCACATAAAAATGCAAAAGGAATAAAAGTAATACAATGTTAACGAAGCAAGTGTATAATTTATGGTGCGCTGAACGATCAGGAATCGAAGCACGATTGAGTTGTGGGCGATCGCTGGATGGCTGGGAGAGCAGTAATAACTAAAGCCTGTTTAAAATCTGATATACAACAGCCATCAATCACTAAAGATAAACGGGACCAAACAATTTCGATCCAAGGATCAAAACATAGGGTTAACTTTAGATTCAATAAGAATGTTTTTAGAATTGAATATATCAATATAATTTGAAACAGAACCAAACAAGTTTCAGCAAATAATAGGATAAATCCACATAACTTGATATTAGTTTGTATTAATAGAAACAATTAGATCAATATAAATGGATTATATTCAGTAAGAATTAGTACTCATCTTGGGAATTAGCATTAGCATCAACTCATTGAAGATGATAGATAAAGGTAGTTCAAAAAAGGGGAGAATATCTAATGAAATATTCCAAACTCATCTGAAATTTCTTCCCTTTCATAATTGATATAATGTAGAAAATTATCCTGATACTTAGGTAATTTAAATAGAATCCAAAACATTTACTTATACAAGACAAATTATTACTTCTCTTAGGAAAATAATTATCAGCCAAAAGGTCAGCATAATTATAGGTCATGCAATCGTGTAGTTGGGAAAAGTGAAATGTCGGAGAAAAGGATCTTAGAATCTTAAGTAACATATAGTAACAATACTCTATACAAAATCACTCACCCGAATATCTCTCCTTGCAGCTGGCCACCCGCTCCATCGAGCCGTCGTTCGGGCTGCTCTTTGGAGACACCCTCAAGGATCTCAACGTGGGCACGACGGGGGCGGCGATCATCATCAGTGCGCTGGACGTGTGCATGAACTTCTCCGGACTGTTCGTGGGACCGCTGCTGAAGGAGTTCTCCTACCGCAAGGTGGCCATCGCGGGATCGCTGCTGTGCGGCCTGGGCCTGGCGCTCACATCGCCGGCGACGAGCATGGCCCACATCCTGAGCACCTACTCCGTGATCAACGGCATCGGCGTGGGTCTGTCCACATCGGCGGCCTTCGTGGCGCTGAATCACTACTTCAAGCACAAGCGCGGCCAGGCGGTGGGACTGTCGATGGCCGGGACGGCCATGGGTATGCTGATCATGCCGCAGCTGGTGCGCATCCTGCTGGAGGCGTACGACTTCCGGGGGGCGGTGCTGCTGCTGGCGGGCGTGGCCCTCAATGCCACGGTCGGATCGGTGCTGCTGCAGCCGGTGAAGTGGCACATGAAGGAGGAGTTCGACGACGAGGAGCTGATGTGCATCTCGGCCCTGCCCACCCCGCAGCCCCAGCTGACGGTGGGCGGCGGAGCAGGTGGCGCGGCATCAGCTGGCGGCGGCGGTGCGCCCGAGTTCAAGGTGATCAAGGAGGATGGCAACGAGGAGGACGCCCTGCCCGAAATGAACACCTTGCTGTTCCACAAGCACAATCCGCACCAGCATTCGATGCGCAAGAATTACTCGGAGATGGCCATGAATACGATGAACGGCAACCGGTTGGGATTGCCGAAGAGACCGACCTTTCCGCGCATCATGTCGCTGGCCGGCGTCCAGTCGGCTGCCCATGGAGCGGGCACGGATTCGGGCGGCTATACGTCGCAGGCGGAGGTCAATGCCACGCAGCTGCGCTGCCGCAAGGCCTCGGTCACCTCGAACCTCTCCTACATGGACTTCACCGGCTCCATTCTCCAGGTGCATCTCAACACCGGCGACGATGAGTTCGAGCAGAACGATCGCGAACTGCGACGTGTTGGCACCGCCACGGGCAGCATTGTCCTCGGCGGCCATCGCGATAGCTTCATCAAGATGAAGCCCACCGAGCTGGACAAACAGGCGGAGGCGGCTGCCGCCCTCGATGATGAGGCGAAGAAGAAGGCCAAGAAGGCGGGATTCTGGCGGCGCTTCGCCGATCTGCTCGACATTGATATGCTCAAGGATAAGATGTTCCTCAATCTGCTGTTCGGTCTCTCCATTTTCTACGTCGCCGAGATGAACTTCAAGATGGTCACCCCGTTCTTCTTCGCCAATTTGGGTTACCAGAAGGCGGATGTCGCCTTCTGCCTCTCCATCACCGCCATCACGGATATCGCCGCACGGATAGTTCTGCCGCCGATCTTCGATCGCACCACCATCAAGAAGCGCACCATTTTCCTCGTGTCCATCATCTTTGTGGCCCTCACCCGTTCGAGTGAGTATCTGGGAATGCGATCAGGTTTTCGATTAAATTTCGATTTCAAATAAAGGGATCAAACAATAGGCTGATTGGGTAAAAAGTGTTTAACAAGTAAATAGTATTTGTTATTAAATCCCTCCTCAAACAAAACCTTCAGAAGTTTTTCCCATAATCAACAAAATCAATACATAAATTTCATAAATTAAATATAAATAGTACTTCAGTGTCGTATAGCTGCATACATTTCGTATTACAATTGTTTTGAAGTTTTTGATTTTAATAAAAATAAAATACTTTATTATATCTGCTATCAATCCTTTAATAAGTAATAGTAAATAGTAAAAATGAGTTTTCTGAAATTAGCTTCCTTTTTTGGTTTGCGAGGATTTTAAAAACAAACGATTAACGTCTTGATATTTCCAGTTATGGCTGAGCAGACGGACTGGACCCAGTTGATGGTGTGGCTGTCGATCTGCGGCTTCTTCCGAGGCTCCGCCCTGAGCAACTTCACCCTGACCGTATCGGAATACTGCTCCTTGGAGAAGCTGCCCTCAGCTTTCGGCTGGCATTTGGTGGGCAAGGCCCTGTTCGTCATCACATTTGGACCCCTCATCGGTAGGGCATTTCCACAATCCCATTGAACTTAACTCCTTACTTACTCAAAAACGATTCTTTTGGTTTTGATTACAGGTCTCATTCGGGACGTGACCGACAGCTATCCGATTTGCATACACACTCAGAGCGTTTGCATCATGATTTGTGCGCTGGCCTGGGGCATCGAGTACCTGGTGGAGTTCATCCAGTCGAGGAGACGTACCGCCGATGCTGCCCAGTTGCCAACCCAAGATGCCACGACGACGACAACAACAACAACAACAACAGCGACGGGTCAGCAGGATGTGAAGCTGTAAGGCTGAATGGAACAGGAACCAACGGACAGGAGATGGACCAGCAGATCTACTTTAGGGAAGACAGTCTCGCCGCGGGGCGGAGGATCTCCTCCAGCGAGTACCCAACTTTAAAATATATACTTAAGTGGGTCCTCCATACACAGAAAGAAAAAGGATCGTCGTAGTTTAAGAAAGAAGTATGTTTTTTTTTTTTTAACGCCACTACGTTCAAGTTTCAAGTGTTGGGGGCCCCAAATCCCCAAAAATGTATTAAAACTCAATTTAGTTAAGTCATTTTTATCGTTTGCGCTCCTTTTTTTTTTTGCAATATGTTAAGTGAGACTTAAGATCTTGGAGAGACATAATCACGAACACTCCATAACACACATATAACCATAACTAGGTATACAAATGAAGGAGGAGTTGTCAGTTTTAGTTGTATGAATCCATTTCTCAACTGCTACCAAGGGGGTAAAACAAAAAAAAAAAACAAAAAAACAAAGAGTTCCCCAAAAAGTGCGTTTAAATTCCTAATGTCAAAAAAAAAAAGGGAAAACCAAAATTGATTCGCCAAGATTATTCAGATTTTTTGTCTCTTATGTTTCGCCTTGAATTGTTCTCTCTTTTGTTTATTAGTGAACTTGTATGTGATAGTTCAAAGATAGTTTTTAATTTAGGGGTTAATCTATACTTATAGAAATACTTATATCTGCATCTGGAAATGTAACGATGCGAAAACAAAATGAGAAGGGAGTGTTGAAAATTGATCGGCTTTAAAATGTACCTTAAGAGCGATGTTAAGCAACGACAAAACAACTATACTATACTATACTATACACACATAAATAAAACACACTATATATCATTTATCTAATGCGTAATCTAGAGACAACTTTGGTCAAATGCAAAGTGCGTCAATTTAACTGAAGAAATATTAGAAGATCGATGATCCTAGGCCAACATAATGCCACAATATATATACATATATATATACTATATACAATTGAAGATTCCTTGAGACGGCATTACTGACCGACCTTGCAAGAAGATCAAAATCGTTAAGAAGCCTTATATGTGTCCCAAAATCAGCATCTAGCATTAGGATAATCGAACCAAAATGCAACTAAACCCAACGGATAAGCAATAAATGCAAACACGCCACGCAAATCGTGGACAAACGACCAAGGAAACTCTTTGTAGCAAACTTTTGGGCTCGGTGTGAATTGCTACACTGGAATAAACGAAATGACCCTGGCCCCTGTAACGAAATTCGGATATACAATATACACAAACTATTATGTTAAGCATATTTTGGGTACTTAAATTTATCGCGGAATATACATTTATTGTCGGATAGTCCGTAGATGTGAACGATTTTGATACAAGCGTATGAAGCAAATTTTGGAAATGTATTGCCCGATATTGTAGCCTTATATAATATAAAAATATATTGTATCAGTATATGAGTATGCGTATATTAAACTGAAAATAAAATGATCCAAAATAACGAAATGAGTAAAATTCGTTTGGTGAAAGATATTTCCAGGAAGTAAATATAGATCATGAGAAGGAAAAGATAACAAATTGGGACAGATTAGATAATCGTGAACTGAGAGGTTAGTCTCTGAGCCAAACAAACTTAGGGGTAAAACAAATATTTCATAATAGGTCTGGTCTTTAATTCTAGTAAATTCAATTCCAATTCAATAGATTACAATTAAATATTATTAATATGCAATGCAAATTCAAAGAATGCTTCCCCCATAATGTCATCTTCAATGATATCTGAGATCCGGCCAAGATACACCCAACCATCATTATCAACAGAAGGCAAACAAGAAGTCATTTATGGGGATAATGTCGAGAGGAACTATCATGCGTCCGGGGCAAACAAATGTAATGCGTGAAGAATAAATTTAAGTTTGTATAAATTAGACACAAGAAATCTCATCTAGGAAAGGAGACGGAATGCGTCGACGAGGCACGAGGACTGTTGTAAATCTAGTGACAAACCTGTCCAAAGCGTTAGTTCTGAAACTTCTTATCAGGGGAGACGGGACGACTTGTTTTCGATATGAAAACGATGATAAAAACCCAAACGATGCTCGTACATATTTCCGTGATTCGCAAATGTAATAGATAATTACAACTCGAATTTCGGGGGCGTGGAAGGTTATAAAAGAAATGCTCGGAAAAAACACTCGGGGGGCAGAGCATCTTGGCAAATACTCTCAACTGTCCGAGCATCCGGACTAATCTTATCGGGAAAAACGGCATTGTAAACCTTCGTCATAAGAAGCTTAGCTTGGCCATAAAGACCCCGAGGTGCGATAAGCGGGCAATAGAGGCGGTGGCTACTGGATGCGCCGACTTATACGGTGGGATTGATATATGTACACGGATGGAGTGATGCCTCCGATGTCTGGGTGACGACCGAGCACCGACTTCAGTCAGTAACGCAACACTTGCCGCCCAGTATTCGAGATGAAGAAGTCGAAAGCGTACAAGTTGGAGGCCCCCGATGGCGGCTGGGGCATCCTCGTCTGCATCGGCATGGCCCTTCCCTTTGTAAGTGCAACCGGAAGGGATCTTCTTCGGAGGAATATGATTCAAATTGTTCACTACTATGGCCGACTTTGGTTCTGCCAATAATACATAAGTTATTTTGAGGTTAAAAATATAAGTGCATTTTTTAGAAGTGAAATAAGAACAAAATAATTAAATTACTGAATAGTACTCTGGGATCATGTGTTAAATAATGTGCAAATAAGTGATATCAAACCAGCAAGACATTCCCTGTTTTTCAATCTTTAAATAATTTTCAAGTTACCCTTGATATGTTGGTAAAATAAACTATCCATTTATTTATAAAAATCAACATTTTGTGTTGAGACTTTTGACGGTTTTAATTATATTTAATCTAATGTAACTTCAAAACCTGAACATTATTGGATTCTAATGATACTTGTGGGTTGTGTAAATAATAGTTTACTGAAATGAACCAATTTTAAAATATAATATCCTAATATGCAGTTGCAACTCTCTTATCTTTTGATTTGAAAATACCATACTTGAAACTTATAAGCATTTGTTTTACATAATTTCCAGTAAAGAATGCATCTTAAAAACGTCCAGAAATATTAAACCAATGACTTACCCGATTATTCCTTTTATAGACGAGTGCCCTGGCCGCTTTGCCGTCGTTTGGCCTGGTCTTCGGAGATTTCCTGAAGGGCATTGGGGCAGGAACGAGTGCCATGGCCATCATCACGAGCGCCTTCTTCTCGTCGATGAGCTTCGCCGGACTGTTCTCCGGATCGCTGTTCCAGCGCTTTGGGATGCGGCAGGTGGGCCTTACTGGGGGCATACTGTACTTTTTGGGCACCGGAATGCAGCTGTTTGCCACCACCACGTGGCACCTAATGCTGGCCTTCAGCGTGGTTCAGGGATTCGCCTTTGGACTGATGGTGCCCACCTGCTACACGACCTTCAACCATTACTTCGTGAAGAACCGGGTGATGTGGATGAGTTTCGCCCAAACGCTGATTGGATTGGGATCCATGTTGTATCCGATTGTGATGCAGAAGTTGTTGCAGTGGTACGGCTTCCGGGGCTGCCTGCTCATGCTGACCGGTCTTAATGCCCATGCGGTGCTCGGCATGCTGGTGATGCATCCCGTCGAGTGGCACATGCGTCGTGTGCCCATTGAAGCCGAGGAGGAGGAGCTGAAGCTGCAGGAGCTGCCGGTGAAGCCAGCGGTGGTGGTTAGAGTACAACCGGAGACGCCTCTGAAGCCCTCCAAGGAGGAGCCCACGTTCCACGCAGATCCGGTAGCGCGACGCCTCTCCCACGCCGAGGAGCAAATGCTGAGGGTCCTCTCCAGCCGGGCCTCCAGCATCACTAGCCTGGGCAACTGGTCGGGACCCGTGGTGGTCAGCGATGCCTCTCCCCAGATGATGCACAGCCTTCAGGCCTCGCGTCGCCAAAGTATGATCACCGGTGGAGCAGGTGGTGCAGTTGGGCGATCTGTGCCCCCGGAAGAGGCGCCAAAGAAGGGCTGGGTGCGCACTGTGGTCGATTTCCTCGATCTGACGATTCTTAAGAAGCCCATCTACGTGAACATCGTGCTTGGAATCACTTTCGCCCTCTACTCCGACATCACGTTCTTCACCATGCAGCCGGTGTATCTTTTCGAATTGGGCTACAGCAAGGTGAGTTAAAGAACATTATTAATTAAATAGAAATGTATTAATTCGGTTATCCCAGAAATATTTTCATTAAAATTGGTTTGGAATTTGTTCAGAGTTTTTTGGAGCAGCGAGCCCTTCCTTTTGCATTTACCATTTACCACACGTTGAGTCTAAATGATCTATTATACTCGTTAAGACTTTACACGCGGTTTCCCTTTTAAATCTGATCTTAATAATTTAACGGTTTCATCATAGAAGCCTTCCCCCACAAAATGTCAAAAGGGATTTGCGAAAACTAACCTGCAAAATGTCTCCATTCGCTGATCTAGCAGTATCGCATCGTCGTTTTGCAATTGTGTTTTTACTTCCATTCAATGTTTAACAATATTAATATCAGGTAAACAATTCGCACTTTAATTTAAATACACGTTAATTTGTTTAAACACTTTAAGGCAACTAGTTAATTAAGCGCAAACGTTGGCGTCTAAAAAGTCACAAAAGAGAATTGCCAAGAACGATGCCGCCATTTTATTTAACGAAGCACACAAACTTTGAATAGTGATGAACCTCCCACGATAATTTTGATGATCAAAAACGAAGAACTTATCAAAAAGGATAACTGTTGTTAACATTCTTCAATTCATGTTTTTTTATAGCGTGTTATATGTAATTGTATTTATTTTTAGCCGGATACTGCCACCATTATAGCCATCGGAGCAGCTGCAGATTTAACGTCCCGTATTTTCTTAGCGATCACCGCCGTCTGCATCCAAGTTCCTTCCCGATATATTTACCTGGCCGGAGCGGTTTTAACGGTCTTTGCAAGATTTGGTATGGAATTCTTGAGGTCTTTGTGTGTAATTTTTTCATAATATATTAAATTTATTTTTAGTTTTCAACGGCATTACAGAGTTTGTGAGCATGGCCTGCATTACGGCTGTTATTGGTTTTCTTCGCACTTGGCTTCACGTCCCATTGCCTCTCGTTTTTGCTGACTATTTGTCCAAGGAGAGGTAGGTTTTGTTCTTATAGTTAATAAAATGTACAACATTACCATTTTTCTCTAATATTTTGTCTTGTTTAGGTTCGCCACCGGCTATGGGTTGTTTATGTTTATCCAAGGCAATGGCATGTTTCTTATAGGCCCCATTGTCGGGATGATACGTGATCAGACAAAGGACTATATTCTGGTCTTCCACATCCTCAATGGCTTCATGATCCTGTGCGCTGCTCCTTGGGTTATAGAAGTCCTTATCGTACAGTTCCGAAGACGCAATAAGATCGAACGCAACAATGTTGATCACGAGGAAGTGGAGAACCAAGGACGTAGTGCAATGGTCCATTAAAAAACATTTTAGAACTTTTAGAAAGAATTCAAGTTTTTTTAAGGTTAATATTAAACAAGAGTTTTTAAACGCAATTATAGATATACATATATGATTCCTTTTTTTAATTGGACATAAGGGATACGCTTCTTTGGTATTGGGGCTGAAAGTAATTTGTTTTGTTGGATTCGGAAAAAACAGAATTATTTATCAAGTGCTTATTCAGCCTTGCATTAACGGTCGATTTAAATTGAGGTTTTACAATAACATAAGCTTAACTAATCGCTGAGTGAAAGTAATCGATGTTTACCAGGGACAACATCAATAGTATCGGATAAACATCGTATTATGTTTCAGCTCTAACCGACAATTAGTAAATAAAGTAAAACAATAAAACCAGGTGACAATGCTGCAGCAAATCAAGATGCTGGTCCTGGGCATCATCACACTGTGCCGACGTGCCTTGTGTTGCTTTTCGAGGCGCCGGAAGCTCAGTCACTCCGGAAGCGCAAACGGCGACCAGCTGCAGGCTGTGAACGTGATTGTGGAGCGGGGTGACTTCTCTGCCGCCTCCTCCTCCGCCGCCGTCGGAAATTCCAGGTCAATGGGTCCCAAGGAGCGCGACTGGAACTCCTGGGACGACAGTCCGCGGACCGTGGAGGAGCACATCGAGCAGTACCGCCAGCGGATGGCTCAACCGCCAACGCCGCCGAAGGAGGAGCCCGAACCGGACTTCTTCAGTGTGAGTTGGCACAATTTAGCCGATGGTTACAGCGGAGGTTAGGCTGATAGCACTGGAAATTTTACAGCTTATCCTAATAGATAGAATGGTGGTTTGCTTATATGCAAAGTTTTTGGGTATAAAGAGATTCGTTTACCTAGGTAAAATTGGTGAGCTATTTTATTAGGTTTGCCGGAACAGATAAAAACAGCTGATAAGATTCGCAGGTGTTCATTCGCTTACCTTCTCATGTAATGTATTTTTTTAGATGTTATTCATTTAAGATAGAATTTATGAATTGAATGAATTAATTAATGAAATGGTAAAGGATCCTCGTTTATTTCCTGCTTAGGTAAAACCTTGTATATCTGTTAATCGCCTAATCGAATCTTTTATGAAAACACTGTCTTTATTGATTAATTAAGCTTATTATTCGTTTTAAAGTAAATTTTGTGTTCGGTAAAGTTAAATATTTGCATATAAACATCTGTTGTTAACTGCGTAACAAATACGTTAGCAGTTTAAGATAGCAAGTTAACAACAGTTTATAAACCAAACAATCCGTAGCGAATTTTTAAACAAATCGCAATTCAAAAATATTTTTAATTCAGACAGAAAAATTTCGGTTTATGTGTCCCGCTCTTAATTTAATTTTAATTTTCTTGCAGGAGTTAACGCCCACCATTAAGCCTCAAATGAAGTTCTACCTGGAGGACCCAACGACGAGTGCGGCGGCCAGCCAATCAACGGACTTTTCAAGACTGCAGGCCCAGGATTTGGTGCCCATTAGCAATAATGTAAGCTGACTTACTAACCCAAAAGTTGGTCACATGGAGCATATTTATATGTGCATTGATTTGGCAGGCCGATCTCGAGGACTGGGTGGACGACAATGCCGGCGGCTGGGAGGAGCTGGATACCTCGCAGACCAAGCAGATCCTGCGTGAAAAGCGACGCGAATTGCGCCACCAGCGACAGCCGGCCGCCCGACCAGCCCCGCCCACCGTTGGTGCCCAGCGGCTGAGCGACGGTCAACGAGCGGCGTAGTTGTTGCTGCACGAACCCCTCATCCAGCCTGATCATTCCACAATCCACTTGCATTCTGTTTTCCTTTTCTTTTGTTCGATTTAGTTGATTGGCCACACGAAATAAATCTTGCCTTTCACTCGCACTTCCCTCCTCGCGCGGATCAGTTGGGCCACACTTCCTGATGGCTCTGCGGTTTTTGGATACGCTACATTGGTCACGCCTCTGCGGAGTCTCCACGACGGTCCATAAAAGCAACGGCCGGCGACTGGAGACGCAGCTATCAGTGCGATGCTGCTGCCGGAGCTGCTGCTAATCGGTCTGGCCGTCTCCCTTGCAGACGGTTACGATCGCAGTGTCAACTACTGGGAGGCCTTTGCCCCCGGCAAGCTGCTCCAGCGTCTGGATGCGCTAACCGTCACCGATGTGGATCCCTCGAAGGCGGCCAAGCTGCCGGAGATAATGGAGCCCGTCTTGGCGGCCAACGAAGCTCAGGCCAAGGTGGACGAGGATGTGGAGGTGGATGTAGATGCATCTGCGGCAGCGGCAGACGACGAAGTGGACAGCCTGAGTGCAGAGACCAGCCACGAGGGATTTTCCGGCGAGGATTACGAGCGCAACTACGAGCAGTTCGTCAAGGAATACTTCGATCGGGCTGCCGACACCGATGACGACCACGACGATCTGGAGGAGGAGACCCAGGCGGAGGCCACCAATGTCAAGGATCAGCACTGTCGTCGCGTGAAGCGAAAGGATGGCCAGCTGTGCGAGATCTGTCGCCAGCTAAAGAACAACGAGGTGTCGGAAACGTGCAGCTACTCACACGACGATCAGCCGGAGCAGTATGCCTTTGGCAGTGGCACCCAGTACAAGCGCTACCGCGAAGATCCCGCCAAGAAGGCGGCAAGTCCAGAGGAGTCGGTGGCACCCAGCAGCCTGTGCGTCCGTCGCCAGAAGGAGAACAGCGTCTGTTACGAGTGCAAGGACAGCAAGGGACAGAAGATCGATCGTTGCTACGATATCAAATCGAGGAAGGCCAAGACCAGAAAGAAGAAGGCCTCCTCCTCCATCTCCACTTCGTCGCCTCACAAACGGAAGCCGCGTTCCCAGCAATCCCAGCAGTCGGAGCAGGAGCAGCGCATCTACAAGCGCACCATCAGCTACAGCTATGCCCAAGGAATGGATCAGAAGGAGGAGCCGCTTGCAGTTGGGTCAACGGATCTTCCGATGCCCCGCCAACGTCGCCGGCGGCTGGTGAAGATCACCCGCAGACGCGGTCCTGTCCAAGTTCAGTGATGCTTCTCTTGTTTTTTTTTATCGTCTAACTCATTGTATACCCCACTCAGTAGCTTAGATTAATTATTACACAATTTTTTGTTACAATAAAACATTTTTTTAAGAACACGTTGCATACTTGTGGGCTAATCAGCTAGCAAAGATTAGGAAATTAAAAAAGGAATCAAGAAAAATGTAATAAAAAAAATCCTTCAAGATAAAACTTCGAAAATGAGATTGGAAATCAAAACTAGAATAAAATGTATTTAAAATTACCCGAGAACCCATAATATGGAGAAATCCTGTGAAGTTCTATATTATCCAATTTGCTACCATTTAACAAAAAAAAAAAAACAATAAATAAGAACAAACATTGAATTTGCTTGTAATTTTACTCAGAAATTAATGATGAAATTTTGTTATATTTAAAAATCCCACTTCCTGGAGAATTTAAAGGTATGAAGAACATACAATTCATTGAAGAAACCAAAAATAAATTATGTTATTCCATTCAAAATATCAAACACAAATCAATCAAGCAAAATTGTTATGTGGAAAGTAAATTATAATAGTGGTCTATGAAAATATATACCTTCTAAAGTTAACAACAAATTTATAAATAAACATTGTGTAATAAATAAATTACAAAACAATAAGGCAATGCAAATTGAAATTGTTCCAACGTGACAATAATATTTTCCATCTCCATAAAATCTTATAAGCGTGGATAAATGAGACTCTTTGAATTGATTTCAATTGAACAACAAAACTTTCACAAAAGTCGTTTATTAGTGCGATTTCGGGTTTCAGCGATTTCCTAGTCGTTTTATTTAATTATAAAACCACAAACATTTTGTTTACATTATCAAAGAACTGCGACAATTTGCAATTAAACATACTCACTCAAAGAACATTCCGAACATTGACTTAACTTTAATTTTTTAGCTGCCATAAAAAGATTTTTAATTTGTCATTTGGAAAGGGACAGCTAGAGAGCAGTTGAAAAGTTGAGAGATATAGAAAAGTAATGTGATAAATGCAGCATTCGGAATTTTTTAACGTTTCGATTAGTTAGGATCACATAAATTTTAACATGAAATCAACCTTAAACACATAAAGGGTCTGAAACCGACATTTTAGTCTAGAAAATTTATATTTTCCATTTTTCTATTGTTGCTGCGGTGCTTTGTGCTAAAAAATTGACATTAAATAATTTTGCCATGTAATATTGTGATCTGAATTGCTTTTTCTTGTGCGCGAAAAACGTAATTTCTGATAGATTTTAATAAATCTAATTTTTTTTAAGGTTTCCACTTTCATACAGACGTACTCCCAGTTCCTCTTTCTTGCGATTTAATTTATGATTAATTTTAGTGATAATACCCATTGAATATTAACGATTATTAGTTTTTTTTTGCCTTTATAAACAAATTTAGTTCCATAAAAGTTTACACAACTTGGTACTTAATTAGTTATAAACCGATTTGGCTGGTGCTGGTTTTTGACTGACTCGATTCTTGAATTGTAAAAAGTAATTAACTAATTTGATGTATTTGAAAGTCTGATTTCATATGAAATCGCCAAGTGAAGATGGAAGCATGACTGATATTTGCGAAATTAAACTCCAGATATTTGCTTTAAAAACTTCGTTGAGTTTTCGATTGATCGGATTCACAATTAATTCGCAGGTTATTCGTTGGCTATATAAATAGGTACATTATATTTAGGTATAGATATCTATAAATTGGCTGGCCTAAAATGTTGATCATCTTGTAAATATGACGGCTATCGTTATTACTAAAGCTTTTTCTTTCCCATCGTCGTTACATCATCGTAGTAATCTTATATCTGTTCGAACATTTTGTGGCTGCGTTGCTTTCGTTTTGTTAACATTTTCGTTTCAACTAGGATTAAATATCTAGCAGTACAATAATACGAATATAAATTTTTAAAGCTTCGTTTGTATAGAAATGCCGCACAGGGCACTCATATTTTTCTCCCCATTTTTTCATTCGCACAACCCTCACTCGACGTGGGACGATTACGTTCAATAAACAAAAAAAAAAAGATTTAGAAATCGGGGGGGAAAAAAACAACACTAACACACGCACAAATAAATCTTAGGATACTAAACTTTCTTAAAACTGTAAACATATACATATATATATATATTTTTGCAATATATAATTTAAAACAATTGAAACATTAAAAGTAAACATTTTTAAACGAACATTGGTGGATGATTTTGTAAATGTAATTTTCCAGTGATTGGCACAAATGTTTCGAGCAGACGCATAAATGATAAAATTACAAACAAAAAAGGTGCTTAATCAAATTAAATAAAAACAATTTGTATCATTAAATATATATATATTTAACTAGGGTATGATCTGGCCGCAGTTGTTGTAGCTGTGGCTGTTGCTATTCAGGCTGGCCACGCCCTCCTCGATGGGGGCTTCTTGAATGGCCCCAGTTGCGGTCACAGCTCCTCCAGTTCCTGTTCCAATTTCAACTCCAACTCCAGCTGCAGCTGCTGCTCCGGCTCCTGGTGATTCAACAATGGCTGCCGTCGTGGGCGTAATGGCCTTGGGTGCAAAGTAAACCTCGTAATTGTAATATCAAAGCTCTTCGCTGGCCAATTTTTGCTCCTGCACGTACTCCTTGGGGAAGTAGCCAACCTGCAATGGATTTGTATGATTAGTTAAGCAATTGCCTTTTGGGTGAAGGTGATCTTAGCTAACCGTATCGCCAATCTTGCCGCGCCACCAGCCCTTGCTGTCGCCATCCTTGCCAATGACCAGCACCTGGCAGTCGGTGCGCAGCTGCAGCTGATTGCTGCCAGCCTTCGGCTCATAATCGTACAGAGCGGTGGCGATCACCTCCTTGAAGGGCCACTGCAGGGACTGGTTGAGTCTGAAAGTGGGAGGATCAATTAATGCAATAAGATTCTAGTCCACTGCAATGCTATAAAAGCTAAAGATTTGAGCAAACTTATGTTATGTCATCCCAATAATTGATCGATTAAAAAATATAAATATTATATGTTTTAAAGTATAACAAACACTCATTTACTTTAAGGAAAAGTTTGCACAATTTCTGAGAGCTGAGAACAATTAAAAATCATTCAAGAAAATATTAATATAAATACATAATCTCCCGATTTGCACTTACCCCGCAAAGTTCTCCCCCAGATCGTTGCGTTCATAATAGGAAACCAGCTCGACGATGGTCTTAAAATGCCTTCGCGAGGAAAGGCAGTAGAGCATGGAGTCGCCGGAGTTTTCCTGATTGATTTTCATGTGCTTGATCACATGATCGTCCGTCCTGAAAACACAAAGATTACTTTTTAGAAACGAATCTAGATTGGTAACCTACTAGAGTACGTACTTCAGGCTGAGGGCATACATCGTCTCGTGGGCCGTCGATGGACCCTGTGGACGCACTCGCAGCAGATAGGTGCCGATGCGTCGATTCTCCAGCCGATGGGCCGCCGTTTCCCGGTCCATGTTGCCCGCAAACCAATTGAATTCGGACAACTGGCGATCGCAGACGGGCGGAGGCGCACTAACCGGATTCTGTTTGCAGCGACCCGTCGACGAGATGCAGCCCTTGTGCACGCTAATCTGGCACACCTTGCACCGATAGCCCTGGTGGATGCGACCCTTGAGGAACTTGGAGCAGTGGCGGCACGTTGTGGGCGCATCGAAGGTGTAGATTTCCATTTTGTGGTCCGTACTTCGGCAGCCAGGCGGATCGAGGCTTTCCCTAAAGACGAAAGATAATATAAGTTGAATATTAAACAATTGTACATCTAATACTCACATTGCCTCCGTAAGAGCCTTGCGCCACTTGTCCCGCTCATGCTCCGATTTGAGGTACAGGGTGAAGGCGGTCTTTCCGGACTTGCGGGCCAGCAGGAGCTGGTATTTGAAGCGTGTGTCCCTGCCAAGGGTGCGTCGCGAATGGCTCTGCTCCACGCGATAGTCGGCGAGGTTGTGCGAGTCGCGGTAGTTGTACTGCATGTCACCGGTCTTAATGTGCAGCGCCTTCACCATGATTAGGATCTTGTCGAAGACGAAGGCGTAGCGCAGCTTGGTCTTCTGATCCTCGTGCGCCTTGATGTGCAGTTCCCCATCCAGAAGCAGGCGTCCGTACTGTAGCAGATCGCCACCGTTGCCATTCTGCATCAGGTGAAGATCGAAGATGCTGTCCTTCACCTTCTGGATGATCACCAAATGGTCGGAGTCGCGCTTCACCTCGTTGATGTACTGCGACACATCGATCATGGCCTCCTTGGCGCGCTCCAGCGACCGGTAGTCCTCGTGCTGCATCGACGTCTCCTTCACCAGCTTGTCCAGCAGCAGGTGGTACTTGAGGATGCGCTGCATCGGCACGGAAAGGATGTCGCGCAGCTGCAGCTTGCCCACGTTGTAATCGCGCTCGCATTTCTGCACCAGTTGATCGATGATCTGGTTCTTCTTGCACACATCCGACAAATAATCGATGGCGCCCAAAAGGTTGGAGCAGTATTCGCCGTAGATGAGGAATGGCTCACGGTTTTCGAGGAACACCTGGGCCATCTTTATTTTGGCATTGGGCGCTACCGATTCCCTTAGTTTATCCAGGAACTTTGTGTGGATCTCGGCCAGATCCTGCAAACAAAGATTTGCCAAGTTAATTTATATAATCAGAAATAGCAATGTTTAAAGAGAACTCACTTTGATGCGCGGGAATATGATACGCAGTTCGTCCGGATTGAGATGGCGTTCCAGCGGAGCCATGAACTTGGTCTTCAGTGCGTTTAGCACATCCAAATATTTCGATTCTGTGTCGATTAGCTCACGGATGACATAGTCGCGCTGCTCGAAGCTCGTCGTCGAGGCGGTCTACACGGGAGAGAGAGAGAGAGCATGGAAAGCCGGATATCCGGGGATTAGTGAGGTCATGAGCCGAGTGGACGGGCCACCGAAGTGTCTCATGCACCGACTGGCGTCGCAATTCTCTACCTGGCTTCTACTCGTCCTGTGCAGGGCGCACAGATCTTGGTACACCTCCTCTTCTTTTGTGTTGGTGTGGTCATAACCGGTTCCATTGCATGCAATATTGTCGGTGGTACTAAACGAAAAGGAAAGGAAATAATAACAAATCATAAAAAACTTGGGAAAACTTCAGGGGGGTTTCGCAAATCATAGAAGTAATACAACAAATTAAACAAATTTAAGGGGCATAACAACTCGAAATTGTCTTTAAAAATATTTTAAAAATTAACTAGTCGGGTTTTAATGTCGCGTTTCAAAATTAAGTTGCTTATTCTTTTATAATCCTGATATTGTATTTAAGCTGTTCTCCTGTTAATGAAGATACGAGATCTTCATTTCAAAACCATTTCAATTATATTCATAATGGAGTAAACAATTAATTTTCTGTTATCTGTTTAAAAAAGCGCAGATATTCGAATCCGATAGTCCGACAACACGATAATCGATTGTGGCCACTGTTAGTTAACAGCTTGCTGAGCAGTCTCATCTGAGCGGAGTGGCAACGCTGGCGGTGCAACCAGGGTTGCGCTGCCAGCCAGAACATCTGTAGCAGAGAATAAAAAAACGAGAAGTTTTCTGGACTTCGTTTCTTTTTTATCCCCAAACAAATTGGAATCACGCTCGCTTCGCACAGCAAAAAATCATCTAGTGGCGGCAACCTGCTCCTCCATTCCGGGGATTATGGACCACCACACGTACGCCAAGTGCGGCTCCAAAAAATGTAAGCAACAACAACACGTGTTCCTGGTGGCCAATAATTTACAATTTCCCCTATTTATTTTCGGTAAATGCGTTTAAAGGGTCCGCGGAGGAGAAACGGGAATTGGTCGCCCAACGGATTGCGGCGGATGAGCTGTTCTCGCGATATTCACCGAAACACGCGGAGCCATGGAAGTGAGTTTCTTGGTTAACCACGAGGAAAATGAATTCCAAAACTGGATTCAAAACTTCTCCGAGTTAATCACAAATCGTGGGAATTATTTGTATAACTCATGCCTTAAAGCACCAACAAAGGAACCAGAATCAGAAAACCTTGATTAGACATGCCAACAACGTTCCAAATTGGGTTTTACCCAATGTATTTGACATCTTTTTGAAGCTCGTGCTTATCAAAAATATTTGAATCAGCACAAATATGTGCTTCAAAATGTGATCATTAGTTTTTTGCTGAAGATGTGGAATATAAATTCCTCTGATAGGATAAAAGATTTAAGTCCTTTCATTTTAAGCCTATTTTTTAACTACAAAAAATATATTGTTCAATCAACAACAATAATTACAAACACATAATATAGAAATTTGTGCATCATTCTTAAATGACATTCTTAAGACATCCTAAAAATTTATCTGATCTAATGTTCAGGATAATCATTCCAATTCCTTTTAGATAAGCGGTTTCTTCCAGTATTTGATGACCCAAAGTTTAGCAATCAGTGACTAAATTCCCACCTCTTCTACCCGCACAGGAAATTCAAGGACATGGCCAAGATCGGGGACTTCAGCGAGATAGCGCTGCGCAAGCAATGGTTCTCCATGGTGCAGCGCTACCGCATCCACAAGGCCAACTCGGTGGGCACCCTGCTCAACAGGCAGAGCATCGAGGAGCTGAACAAGGAGTGGGAGTTCTTCGGACCGATCCACGCCTACATGAACCAAAAGACCGCCGACCTGCACTCGTACGCGCTCAAGGAGCCGAATGTGGAGCCGCCCAACAACAATCTGGCCATCGCCAGTGTCTATTCCTGCGACGAGGCGCAGCTTTCACCGCTGATGCTTGGCGTAATGAATGACCACAACTTCGGGGAGCGTTCGCCGCCAAATGAAAACACCGGCGGTGAAGCCGAGGAAATGGAGGAGAATGCGTCGCCCTGCCAAGGAAACAGCAGCAACAAGGAGGACCCCGTCCACAGCAACAACGAGGAGCTGGACCGACTGCTGGCCGAGGCTGCGATGCGCAAGGATTCGGTCGGCGGTGGAGGCGAACCTGGTGAGGAGGTGTGCACATACCACGAGATGGAGTGGGGACCAGTGATGGTCGGCGGAGAGGTATCGCTGTCTAACAGTCGATACAATGACTTCGACGACTCGACATCGCCCACAACAACAACGACGACGGTTGTGAAGTCCGAACAGCCGGAACAGCCAAGCGAACCGGTGGCCAAAATAGCAAGGAAGCGACACCGCAAGGTGCTCAGTGAGAAGGATAAGTATTACAGGTGAGTAATTGATTCTACGATAAACTCAATTAACCGCCAAATTAACTCAAAAATCTCTCTTGCAGACACCGTCGTCGCTACGAGCAGCGAATGGAGAAGCGGCTGATGAGTCTGTGCACCGTGGTTGGCACGCTTCTAAAGCAGTTTGCCCCGCACATGGATGTCCAGCCGCTTTTGGCACTCGGCAGCGACGTGGCCCTGAACTCGCCGGCACAAAGTAGCAGTGACGATAGCGAAGCGGAGGACGACGAGGAGCAAGCAATAACGAAGCAGGAACTGGGAGTCGATGCGGATGCCATGTCACTGAGAATCTAAGCGAGCTCTTTGACAAGGTGCTCGGTGCTCGGTGCTTCGGTCGACTGTTTGCTTCAGGATTCGTGTTAGTTCCTAGCTGTGGCTCCACAATGGTATCGTGTGGGCGTTCAAATCCCATCTCATATGTATTTCTAAAAAGGCGCTAGCAGAAATCCCGAATGCGCGCGGATCGCTAGCGCTTCGATATATATACATGCATAGATAGACACGTTAAGTGATAACGCAAACTGAATACATTAATCAAATGAATGAATGTAAACACTAGATAAACAGAAAGCAAACCAAATACAAAACGTATGGAAAGTAACTAACTTGGAGATTTAATGGGCAGGAGAGTAAACCCAATTGATTTGGATAAGTAAGATATAGTTTTCGGCCACTATAATAATATTTAAATTACCTATGATATTTGAATTACTTCATTGTTTCTTGGATCATGCTAGTTTTTTATGTTTTCTGCGCTAGAAAATCATTCTACAGTTGGACTGCTCTTTAACTTAAACACTTGCTTTGGATAGATTCCTATACGAACTTCAGATCTCTCCTTCGCCATTAAATACTTAAATAAAACAAAACAACTATAATCAGATATCGACAACAGACAAAAACAAATCCCATAATAATCTGGATAACCCAGTAGGAGTGGAGTCCCAATGTCATTAGCCAAACCATAACGATTGCCATCGGAACAGAAAAGATAGTGAGTGGGACATGTTGTTAAATGGAATCCGGCTTTTCATCGGCCGTATCGCATCACATCCCCAGTTTGACAGGCAAAAGCTCTTCGTTATGGATCGATATGGGTCTGGGTTTTCCCACCCGCCTACCAATGATTCTATTCGATCCGATGAGTGTACCCTCGAACTACATTCGCAACTCAACGCAAAATAATACACAGTAGTCGCATAAAGAACAGTGAGATAGTGAGATAGTGTGCTTGGGCAAGTACTTCCGGTGGCTATGTTTGGACCGGCCTTCGATCGGTGTCAAGTGGAGGCCGATAACCCACCGGATATGGATCTGGCCTGCCTTCTACAGATTGCCAGCCAAAGAACGAGGAGAAAGTGCTCGCTGGTAGATAGCGATAAGTATGGTGTCTCTGATCTCGGGGTTGCGGGTCATTGGTGGTGCGCGTCCGGGTCGGTGGTCATTGGTTAGTAAGCCGTGTTAGTGGTGCGTTGAGAGTGGTTGGGACGTACAGTAACTAAGCTCAAGCGCAGGCAAGACAAGCAGTGGTTGTGGTTCTGTGTTCGGTGGTGCTGGGTGGTTTTTTTAAACCCTACAAGGACAAGGAATCTCTAGGGGATCAAGCAATCGACGGATGGTTGGTTGGATGCCTGGATAAATGGATGGATGGTTGGAAGGAAGAAGATGGAGGGGAAGGGAGAAGAGGCTTTTACACATGACAATACACAGGGGTGGCTAGACTTCATCGACCAAATCCCAGGAGCAGAAGGTAATCTGTTAGCTACATTAACTTCTTATAAAGACAAAGTTATTTCTTATTCTTAATTTCAGAGAGAAGAAAACTAAACACTCTAGGCATTCAAAAAGTAAAAAAACAAAGAGTGTTGTTACATGGAATATGCAACGAATATAAGGCAACGAATATAAGGCATCTAACTTACAGATTACCTTCAGTCCCTAAGATTTCAACTTTGGATATATCCAACTTGACAAGTAAACGCAAATAAACTGACAATTTCCACACAGAATAGTTTTTATATGTACATTTCAAAGGAAAAACTTGGAAAAGCAAGAATTTTAAACAATTCAGTATGGAAATGCGTTTGCTTTAGCTTTTCGGATCGGGTTATCCTGGTCGATGTCGCCCAACCCGCCGGACACATAGACAGTTAATATGATGGACAGCACACCTCGGGTTTGGCCTTCGCCTGGAAGGTGACGTAGCACAGGTCCTCGTAGACCTTCTCGTCGTCCTCGCTGTAGATGTAGGCGTACTCGTGCTCCGTGGACGCCATCGACGATCGGTAGTTGTAGACAGCGGCGGCTGCGCGCTGCAAGTGCTGGCTCTCGCTGACCAGAAGCAGAGAGGAGGACGAGGACGTGGACACCAGTCGACCCATCGGTGGTTCTGGGGGCGCACTACTAGAAATGCTGGCCTCGCTAGCCAATGGAGCTTCACATCCCGCTCGTGCAAACGATTCCGGAGTGGGTGTGACCGCATTGGAGGCGGAATCGGCCGTTGGACCAACCACATCCAGGCTGAGATCAAAGGAGAGCGCACGCAAGCTGCTATCCTGCCCGGAAAGCAGTGGTGTCTCCACGCCCGCATCATCGCCATCATTCTCGATGGTGGAGTCGCACATGTTGGATAGCGAGTCCTCGATGTAGTCGTCGATGTCCTCCGTTCCGTTCTCGATGGTTATGTCGCTATTCTCGTCCAGCGAGCCGCTCTGCGAGGTTCTATCGTAGTATTCCGCCGACGAGGAGGCGGAGACGGAGGCGTCCATGCTGCTCGTCTTTCGCATGTTCATCTCGCTGGGGGATTCCCCCACATTCCACCAACAATGCAACACACACACACACATTCAAAACACACACCATTTCAAATTCATTCAGACAAAGTTAGTGTGTTAGACAGAGATAGAGACAGATAGAGAGAGAGAGAGAGAGAGAAAGAGAGTGTGTGTTAGATAGAGAGCGCTGGAAAATGGGATTGCTTGGGGCGACTTCCTCGTTTGGCGCACAAAATAATGGATAATGATTAAGCGATATCAAGGGAAAAATATCAGGGTTTAATTAATTAAGTAAAGACACCAAAAGGAGTGTTACATATTGAATAACCATTATTTGGAACATATTTTCATGGGATCGTGACCACAGGCAAAGCACAACTGACTGAGATGGTGGTCAATATTTAAGTTACAAATGCCAGACAATGGCATTCCTCCTGTGTGCTCGATAAGCCACCAGACTTGGGCTTACAGACTTCGGGTCCGGGAAACATGTGAGCGCATAATGAGATCGGTTCGGATTCGAGTCGCATTGGCTTGGATTTAGGGGGACGGAGGCGGCGGCGGTTGCGGGGTTTTGTTTGCAAGGCTGGGGGGCAGGAAATGCAGGCACATCAGCCTGCTCATGGCCGGCGGATCAAGCGGAGGAACGAGCACCATGGCCAAGGGGAAAATCAAATCAAGATCCCGCCCACAAATGGTTACTCACGTGGAATGCAGGTCCTTGTAGATGTTCTCGTTCGAATGGGAACGCTCGCTGGGCGACAGCTGCAGGTTAAAGCCACTGTAATGGATAAAAAATAATAAGTTTCATCAATTGATATCAAAAATCAAACTTCATAATGATATAAACAAAATAAGCCAGACTATATTCATTATTGCTTTACAAAGCCAAAACAAAAGATTCAATTAAAATAGCTCAATCCCCATTCCTCTCTAGCAATGTTTAAACGTGTCTAAACAACATTATACATCATTGTAAAAATTCCGATTTGGTCCAATGAAATCAGACAAGAGCTAATGATTAATTTGATTACTGCAAGCTAACGAATTGCAAAATTTAATGGAGGTATTTCAAAATGCACCTAAATCAATATTATTTTTGGGCATTCTCCTTGCTATTTTCATTGCGATGGCGATTTAACTATGGAATTCAAAGTTAAATTTAATCATTTGTAGATCAAATATAACAAGGCAACAAATTCCTTTATAGTTTTTGAGTGAAATAATTTAACACTTTTCTTTTAGCATTGAATAGTAATAAATACATTGATATCCATATCTGATTCAACCCCCATTATTTGAGTTTCCTGTCGAAACAATCTGACACAAATACATTTATCTTTAGCCACCAGTTGCTCTAACTCGCATGAACTCTATCAAATTCCGAATGAACCAATGAACAGACATTATATAAATAGATGTGCATTTAGTCTGTAACATTGCATAATTCTTATTTTATGCCTTATCTAATCCTCCTGATTTCAGCATCTTTTCAACATAAATCCGATACATGATAAGGGATCTAAATAAACGAATTTGTATCCAGAGCCCCACTTGTTTGACTTGATTTGTTTCCAACTTGAAAGTCGCAGCTTGCGATAAAGATATTTTACTCACATAAGATCCGGATGCATCTGCTGAACCTTGCGGCATTGTGAGAGCTTGGAGAGCGTGATAAGGACGCGGTGGAAGTTGGTCAGGTCGTACAGCATCGCCGGCTCAAACAGGTCGCCATCCCGAATGCCGAAATTGTTGTGGCACACATCCAGGAACAGCTTGATGTTCTTGCTGCACAGGAACTGTAATTGCATTTAAGGTTTATTTCCGGTTATTATCAATGGCTCTAGTCAGTTCAAATTATATTAAATAACTATCTTAAAATAAATTTCTCTAAATATATAAGAAATAGTGAAAACTTATAGTTAGGCAGTGTAGAATTAAAAAAAGGGACTTATTGTTGGACTTTCTTAAACCGCTGTTATTCAAATTGGCAGGTTGAGGTTGTAAAATGTATTAAATTTATCAAATATAGCTTAAAACGAAAAATAAAATTAATTCTAAGAATAAAATAAATTTAAAGGATCTATTGGTATTATAATAAAAGATCTTCTGTTTAGAATCAATTTCTTTTGAGTTGTTAAAACATGTAATATTATATAACTTCTTTTTTGTAGCCTCAAAATAATTCTAAGCAAAAATACAAACAAGAGCAAAATATTTTACAATTAATAATTATAATCAATAAACTATTAAAGTTAATCGTTGGTTGCAAAATAAGCTTTTATGAAAACACATGATGACATGATTACCTGTGCCATTTGCGGCTTGCGATTGAATTCGCGCGGATCCATGCTGCTTGGGTCCAGATGGATGACCAGGTTGCAGAGGAGCACTCCGTCGCGCAGTGTCATCGCCAGGATGCGGATTTCGGCGTCCGGCTGGGCGGCCTTGTGATCGGGCGGGATGACCTTGCACCTGGTTAGCCAAGCGACACATTCGCGCCACAGATCGACGTTCACACCTGCCACGCCCCCAAAACTGTTGCTGGCCATTGCTGAGGGGGTGGGGGGTGGGTTGTGCAAAGGAGGGGGTGGGGGTATGGGCGGGTCAGGCGGTCTAAATGGAAACTGGGCTGGCAGGCCGTGCTTAGGGGGGGATGGGACGGCGGGGTGGGGCGACTCTCGTTGTGTTAATGAAAACAATTGAGACTCATCAGTTGGCCGTTGCTATTGGTGAGCAGATACACAGAACGGAAAATAACAACAACAACAACATCAGCGGAGGGAGCGACCGAGAACAAAAAAAGCGGACGATATTCATACGCGAACGCGTTGCGTTTTTGCACCGTTTAAACACAAACACTCTGCACTTTGATTAGAAAGTTCCCACTGCGTTAGTTTTAAAACTAATTTTTATATTGCAAAATATTGGGTTTATCGAAGAGGAAGAGGAGACTCGACTTCCGATATCAGTCTGTGCCACCAGTGTAACCGCTTGCAGTTTCTACAAAAATATACCAACAGAAAGAAAAATACTGTCCACTGGCATCAGTGGTGTCAAATCGAATAATTTCAAGCCATCTTTTTTTTATTAGAATGCGTTTCAAAAGTTTTTATAAACAGCGCAAAAGAGAATTCCAATTTTTAGGTCTCCTTAAAATATCCGTTTTTACTTAATCTTATTCAATTTTTTTTTTCAACAATTGCTTAACTTGGGATTATATATATCAGTCAAATGTCAGATGAAAACCCTCAACAACAAATAACACAAATACATAGATTAATATAAAAACCAAATGAGGGACCACCTACCAAAATAATATATGTTTATTTATTAAAAATTTGAAGGAAAACATTTAAGAATTGAATTAACAGCAGAGAGTCATACAATTTACGGCACGACTAATTATTAATATATGCAGAAGAAGTTAATAAAGTTCGGCTTGGAATAAATCCGATCATGTTAAACACTTTTAGTCGTGATTTTATAGATACAATAAAGGTAAAGAATGCAAAAATCAAAAAAGAAAATAACATATTTGGCAACCCACTTGTTGTAAATAAACAAATGTTTAGTGCTCATACATACGTTTTTAATTTGTTTTGGCTTATATTTGTAAGGTGACCGCACAGTTTAGTTGGTATATTTTCCTGCTCATACGGCGGTCACACTTAAGCGGCGAGCAGCCCAATAGAAAAATGTAAATTGTGCAGCAAGTGAAATTGAAAAGCAATAATATTTAAGTGTGATCCGTGGTGTCTCGCGACATAAAGCTTTATCGGCGAGCGGGCGACGCCGCCGTTGCCGCCCACTCCCCGTCCCCCGGAAAAACGCGCAGCCAGTGCGATGGCCTCCCTACATTCCAGTTGGCGTTTTGGCAAACGAAGCAAATTACAATTACGCATTAAAGGTAATGTAACGAGTGTGTTAATTGACATCAACATGGAATCGGCATGTTGGCGCAACCACTGCTGGTGTTTTCATGTTGTTCCCGCGATTTCCTTGGGCAGCAGCTGTTGCTGTACCGTTATTGTTACCGTTCCCGTTCCGTTTGACCCCCACGCCCCATCACCTTTCGATGGGCTTATCCAATAATTGGTTGCATCGCATTTGTTGACATTGATGTCAAATGCATACTCACAGCAACAAAACACGCTGGCAAGTCGACTGCGCATAACGGTACCTATGTATGCTCCAATGTAGCAATGTACGGATGTAACGACAGCATGGCATTCTGATCAGCATTTCTCCTGTTCAACGGATCCTGTTATTTATACACCGGGGTGTATATTTACTATTTATTTATGTATTTTTATTTTTATTTTGCTGTTGTTGCCATTTGACCAAATTCTTTGGCTACATGTTGGCCGACTATTTATAGACGGTCGCCAGCGGCAGCAGCATTAGAGAGCCCCCCAAAAAACGATGACGCAGCACCAACAACAAGAACAACATAAACATTCACAAAACATCGGCAACAACAATAACGCACTAAATGTTCGGTTTCTTCCATTCATCATGTCCTTCACTCTTTCGCTCTTTTCTCCACTCTCTCCTGCTCTCTTGTTCTCTCTCACTTTCCAACCAAATCCATCATACAAGTACAGTTAGCTGTAACGAAGACAACAGAAACAACAACAACAACAATGCAACTATTATGACGGCGTTGTTGTCATTTCACGTGCATAGCTTGCGCTGGCGTCGACGACGGCAGTGGCAGCGACATATGCAGCGGCAGAGCTGATTAGCTTTTCCCGTGGATCAATTTCACTTTGATCGCTTTCTAATGCAAGTTGCTGCTGCTTTTGTGCATATGTGAAGATCTGTGTGCATGTATGGCCCCTCTCCCGCATTGATTCAGTTCGTTAGGGTGGTCAGAATATTTGGTTAAAAACCAGAATTATTCCCAAAATTCCGTTTAAGTACTAAATATATTCTGTTCATCAAGATTCTTATTTTCTTTTAAATAAATTTTTGAAATTTAAAATCGTTAGACATTGTTTGTCATTCATACTTAAGTTTGGGGTGGTTAGGAATTTATACCATTTAGTTTTAATAGTCTTAGACATTGAAATAGCTGACCTTTTCCCATTATCATTGCAGTTTCGCAGGATCCGGAGGACTTTTACCGTCTGGATCCGAAGCGATCGGCCGCCGAAAATGCCTTCGACATATACTCGATGCTCTGCGTGGAGGAGACGCGGGACACCAAGCGGCTCTTCCTGCTCAATGCGCTGGCCTCGCTCTGCCTGGGGGCCCGAAAGGGCTCCCACCACAGCAACATACGCTTTAGCACCGAGGAGCTGCTCTACTGGTGAGCCTTTTGGGTTTAAATACTATCTACTATCTTCGATGGGTAATGACCTCCAATTCTGTCGCTTTCCAGCCTGAGTGCCTCACTGGTGCACACCTTTACCCAAGTGCGAGCCGCGGCGCTGAGGACCATCCGCTATGCCCTCAACACACCCAAGGACATTAAGGCGTTCAATGCGCTGCAGCTGCAGCACCTGCTATGTCGCTCCATTGATCTGATGCTCAAGAACGACGATGAGCGCGTCCAGGCACTGAAGCTGGTGCGCAAGATGCTGGCCATCGCGCCGGAGGACATTAGTCCGGTGGTGGTGCGCTGCCTTGTCTCGCTCGCGGACAGCGGGATCGAGGAGAACGACAACCTGCTCCGCGCCTGCCTGGCCACCCTGGCCGAGTTTGCCGTTCTCAATCCGGCGCTGCTCATCGTCTGCGGCGGCGTTACCTCCATTACCCGCAATGTACTTGAGTGTCACAATCCCCGGATCGCCGAGAGCCTCTGCGGTGTGCTTCTGTACCTCCTCGAGTGGCCACAGACGAGGAACATCTGCGGCGTGCGACTGGACTGCCTGGCGGCACCGTACTGCGACTTCACCTATAGGTTGGGCATCATGGATAAAAACAAGTGAGTGTCGTATCAAAAACCTACTTTTTAAATATGACGAACAAGTGAAAATGTATCGGGTAGATAAATTAAAATAATTTATATGAAACTGCTGCGATATCATGAAATTAACAAGCTGACAGCTTGCAAAACAACATGCAGTCATTATGTGAAGCAGAACTGCTGATTCAGATTTTAGATCCAGACGTTTCCGGATCGATTTTACCCATTGATTGGCCGAAAGTCGTAAACAAATAATGCTTATCTTCGTTTGAACTCATTTCGCTCAGCTTTTGGTAATCAAAACAGATGCCTAATAACCAAACAGCTTGATATGATTTTCTGTGTCTGATCGGCTATTATACTTAATTATGAAATTAATTATGAAGTGGCACAAACAAATTACGAAAAGAATAAGCAGATAACAAATGCATTTCGTGTATTGATTTTTCAACCAATATGCTTCTTTATTTATATTAAATTAATGCATTTTGCAGAGACGCCCGAGAACTTCGCTACACGAGCTGTCGACTGGCATTGTTGTCCGTGCTGCGCAGCTGGACGGGCACCCTCGAATTCTGTGATCCTAGCAAACCCTCAGGCCTGAAAGCAATAGTCGACGCTCTTTATTTGAATCAGGTCGAAGTCAGAGTGAGTACATCCACACCCTCCTCCTTTCGCCATCGTGAATCTGAACCAATCAATTGTGTTTGCCCATAGAAAGCAATACTGGATTTGCTGTACGAGTTGCTCTCGCTGCCGCAGCCAACGGGAACGGACGATTACGCGGTGGCACTGCAAGCTGTGGATCCATCGGACTTTCAGGCCACCTGGCTGCTAAGCAATGGCTTCGTGTCCGCCGAGGGAAGATCTATTCTGCCAACACTGGCGTCGCGGGCGCCCAGCGTTGTGGAGCAACACATGGCGCTGATGCTCTACTGTTTCCTGCAAACCGGACTGCTCAACGCCCTCGTGGAGGTGGCGGTGGCCAGCGACCAGTGCCTCTCGGTGCAGGCCACTGTCCTGATTGGCAAGATTCTGCAGCTGATGCACACGCACCTGCCGCCAGATATATGCAGCACCAGTCCGGCTCTGCCCACTCTAGTGGACCATGCCACCCAGGGCAATCAGCAGGCCAATGCGGCGGTTGCCGCTCTGCAAAACTATCAGAAAATGCTACGCCAGCGGCCGGCATCATGCAGTCTGTTCCTCGACAGCATCATCCAGGGTGGTGCCCTCATCCAGACGCGTCTGTTCCGACGCCACCTCAACGTGCAGGAGCAGGCGGGTCCTGTGCTGCAAATGCAGGACACGGCTGAGGCGGCCGGCTCTGTGGTACCGCCTGCTGTCAATCAGTCGGGTCGGGCCACGATCGATCGCTACCGACTGGACTCGGTCTCCTCCAGGGACGAGGCCAATCCGCAGGCAACGAGCTCGTCGAGATCCAGTTTCCGACTGAAGCGAAAGTTCCTACCGCAAGCCTTCTTTGACAACTTCCGAGCATTCAATCGCCTGCTCACAGACTCTCGGGTGATGACCGTTGCGGATGCACATCTCTGGGATTGGGATGTTATCACCACAATGCTTAAGGTGAGCTGCAAATTGAAGGAGAATTATTTTACTTAAGGGAGCATTTATTGTTTAGTAGCCGTTTTGTTTATTTGGTTCAAAAGGGAAATTTGATAAAATATCTTGCTGTTTCTTTTCCAGTCGAATTTAATGCGTAAGCTGGACTACTCTCTGGGTAACTTCCTCAAACGCCTGGTGGACTTTTACAAGCCGCGCAACAATCGGTTCTCGCACCAGGACTTGGTACCCGGACAAAGTCTGCCCACTTATGTCAGTGCCGGGCTGGATTTAATCGATGTCCTTTTGGGTAGCAATGAGGTTTGTATTTTTGATTACTTTAACCATTACAGTTTGCTAATTGGGTTCGTTTGGTTTACTTTGCAGCTGGAGTTTATGCGCTACATAACCGACTACTTCTCGGACATCAGCCAGCAGCTGGCGGCCGTCACCACATCGAATCGTGCCCATGACTGCCTATTTAGTCCGCAGCACATGAACAACACGATGTGTCAGCAGTATTTCCTCTATATCGGTCGCATGTGCCGGACTGTTAAGGGCATCGAAGTGCTCAAAAACACAACCGTATTCGAATAGTGAGTATAGGAACTCTATTAATCGAGTTGGAGATGAGCTAAACAAAATGTATATGTGCTTTCAGCTTGATCAACTTGGTGCGAGGGACCGACCATCTCTGCTATGTAAAGCTGATTGTGTCCGGCTTGAATTATAGCTACGAGAAGCAGCCGCGACAGGTGCTGGAGAAGGCGTTGACGTCGGCTAAGACGCGCAGCGGTCGGCTGTATGCCACCCAATTCATGGCGGTGCTGCTGCGCGCTCGATTGCCGCACTTTGAGGTTTGGGGCATTCCGTTGATCATCAACCAGACACGGGATTCGGACCGCAGCGTGGTGCTGGCCGCAATGGAGGTGCTGGAGGAGGCCTGCCACGACAAGTACTATCTGGAGGAGATTGTCAGTCGGTGGCCCAATCTCACACAGCGCGGCGACGCAGGACGACTGCTGATGGCCCGCTATTATTCACTGCCCCGCGGCCTGAACAACACGATGGCGCGGATCGAGGAGGAGATACGGTACTGGCGGAACGGCTACAACAAGCGCTACGTGCTCCTGGTCGAGGCTGACACCCACTCCAGTCTGACGCTGCACATTCGCAACGAGGATGGCTACTACTCGCGGCGCAACTGCAATACGCGACCCCAAACTGTTCCGCCGAACATAGCGCCCCATCTCTACGGTCAGATGGCGCAGACTGGGCAGGGAATGACGGCGCTGAAGAAGCACGGCGATCTGCCGCAGCTCATTGAGCTGCTCATGCGGGCCAAGTGCTCGGACGATGCGGAGTGCCTGGAACTTAAGGCGGCCATTTGGGCACTGGCCCACGCCTCAACCCATGCCAATGGAATTGAATACTTTGTGGAACAACATGCAAGGTGAGTGCTTGAAATATTAATATAAATTCAATTAAATAAGTTGAGAATGTATATCAAAATAACTTACAATTCTTTTAACTTACAATTCTTTTGTGAAATATAAGTTAAATGCATATATTTTCTTAAAAATTTTTAGACTTTACGAAAAGCTAATTGTGCTGGTGACCAAGTGTGAGGTATATTCGGTAAGAGCCACCTGTTTCAGTGCCTTAGGACTTATTGCCGGCACCCAAGCAGGAGCCAATATTCTTTTTAAACTGAGTGAGTATCAAAAGTCAGATACATTGCTGGGGTATTTTATAAACCAATATGTTTTTCAGACTGGCTGAGCGTGCGACATGATAAGAACACCATGTGGCCAGTGCATCAGCCGGAGGATTGGATGTCTAACCAGTACACACCGGTGCGACATTACTGCGAGGACGTTCCGTCCTACTCCATGACAATGATGGAGGATCAGATTGATGGATTCTACTACTCCGACACCTATTGGAATCTGTTTGGCGACCAGTCGGAGTCCGGTGGGGCAGGAGGTGTGTCCGTAACGGGAACCGCCAGTGGTATTCACCCCACGGTCCAGGATCCAATTGCAACGGCTACGAATACCGAAGGCGTTCGCACCACAACGGACGATGTGCATCCCAGGATGTTGCCGAACGCCGTTGGAGTGGCGGCCAAATCAAGGACTCTGCCAGAGGGCAGCAATCTGCGCCAGGGCAAGCACCAGCGTTCACTCTCCGAATCGAAGACAACGGATGTGATCAGCTTGATTGGTGGTGGTGGGTCGACCACGATGCCGGCAACGGGTATTTATCCCACGCCGTATCAGCACCGCATCCGTTACAATTCCTGCACGGATTCGAACACATCCGGGGTGAGCAGTTGCGAGTCGGTGACCGGACGCACTGCAGCCGCCGCCGCGGCAGCAGCGGCCAACATGAGCGACTTCCAGCAATGCACATTGAGTCCTATTCCGAGCATGTCCAATTTACTGGAGAGCGACGAGCTGATCCGACGACAGCCGCTGGCCAACAGTCTGCTGCCCTCGACCCTTAGCCCAATGGCCATGAAGGGTCTCGCCCAGCTGCGCTCCCTGCGCGCCAACAGTCGTCCGGTCATCTCAGAGTCGGCGGTGGCCTTCTACGAGTTCGCCGATATGATCGACACCCCCGAGGTTCAGATGCGCAAGCCCCACTGGACGCATCCCCACCGGCGGCTCACGGTGCGCAGTTTGGATCGCCAGCCAAAGTTGAGTGATTTGTACAGGTGAGTTATTCCAGAATGGAGTGGAATGAAACCTTCTATTTGATCAATGTTTATAACTGGTCTTAACTCGTATTTAGACACTTTTGCCGGCGCCTTTCTGGAGACGAGACCGCGCTGCTGCCCACGCTAAATGCTCCAAAGTTCCTCAACCAGAATGATCAGCAGGGGCCGTGCTACTCGGGCATCTGCCTGCCCAAGAATGTACTGGACCTGTTTCCCACGCGCAATCTCAGTCGAACGTACGTGTCGCGCGACATTCAGGACCAAGATCTGATTGGCATCAATCTGCTGACCAGCATGGGTCGCCAGCAGTTCCTCAACGATTCCCTTACGAACGAAGGCGGCGATGAGTCTTCGGTGATTTCCTCGCTGTCGGATGTTTCGTCTGCCAGTCGACGGCAGCCACGACAGTGGCAGCAGGGTGCCAAGCACGCCCGCAGCCAGTGCCTCCATTGCGCCCGTTCGCCGCGACAGCAGCGGCAGGACAACAGCGGCAGCCAGAGCAACGGCGGTGGTGGCGCCTCCCTCGCTCCCTGCGAGCTGTATCCCAGTACAGCGGCGTTTCTAGTGGCGGCCGGCATCCAAAGCGGTAACAAGAAGAGCGGTTCGTCGGCTCCCGGAGCTTCGGCGGCCTTGGGTGCGGACATCAGCTTTCATTCGCCGGAGAGCATGCTGAGCGAGGACAGCCTGCCGGACAGGCTCACTGCCTCCATTCTGTACAATGTCCAGCGTCTGGCCAATCCCGTCAGTGCCAAGCAATCGAAAATGGCTCTGCTGGAGCTGAAGCAAAAGCATCCGCACGCCTTTCAAGTAAGATTCATTCAGAATTCAAATAGTTAGTGACTTACTCATCACCGTTTCTTTTTTAGGATATTTGCCTTTACTCTGAGTCCTGCAAGACGCTGGGCAGGAGCAGTTATCGAATGATTGCCCGTCGCTTCCTCCAGGAGCTCTTCCTGGACCTCAATTTCGACTCGTTCTACGTGGAACCGCAGCTGATAATCCGGAAGTTTCCAGCTGAGGAGAAAGCTGAGGCCACGCCGCCCACGGCAATGCCGGCTATGCCGTTCAAGGCGATGAACCTCAAGCCCAAGCCGGCGGCTCAATTGGCCAGCGTGTACGAGACCAGTTGGGAGAACCTGCTTATGGATCAGTCGCCACGAATAAACAAGTCCTCGCCTGCTGCTCAGCCGGCGAATGCGCAACAGAAGCCAAAATTACACATCGACGACACGGAGAGTTCCTTGTCCAGCAGCGACGGCGACGGCGAGGGCGAGGGCGATCCCGGCGAGGATGTGTGCGACGGCAGTGGAGCCGGTACGCAGGCCAGTTCGGTGACCACCGCCCACACAGCTCTGCCCACCGGGAACAGCAATCGCAGCAGCATCTGTACAATCAGCCAACAGCCACCGGGCGCCGCAGTTGGTGTGGCTACCAACGCATCCGCTGGAGCGGCGAGTGCATCGGATGAGGGTGCCACCAGTCTGAGGAACGAAAACCGACAGTACACCCGTGGACGCTTCTACACACTTGAACTGGACTTGAGCTGCACCAAGAACAAGTTTCCCATCAAGGATCGCTCGCAGACTGTGCCGATCCTGAGGCGTCAGGTGAGCGCCGATGCGCAGGCAGTGTCGCCCGTCGGCGCCAGCAACGAATCCACGTCGGCTCTAAACTACTCCGAGGTGACCAAGAGCCTGGCAGCATCGATGGCCAAGCCGGTGGGCAGTCTCTACTGCGAGAAGCGTTTGCAGAGCTCGAAATCGGAAGCGGTTCTCGACGAGGTGGCGATTGCGAGGAGAGCATCCGGTGGAGCCGGGGTGACCACCTGGCGCCAGATCCTGGACACACTCGGCGAGGATCAACCGAAGTAGTGCAACGACGTGGACGCACTGCCTGCCTGCCCTCTCACATCTCATTTACCGCCCGCCCGCCTTCCTAAGCCCGAAACCAATCGGATGAATGTAATATATCAAATCAAAGAGAAACATGTAGCTACTTAGTTTTAGGCAAACCATACTATAGGTACTAAGTTATTTTCGCCTAGTTCGTTAAGACTAATGTTATTACCATAATTAATTTTACGATCACCACTTATGCATAGTTATTTTTAATGAAATTTGTAACCTTAAGCAGAAGAAAAAACCAACCAACAAGAAACAACAAAAAATCCCAAAAAATATTATATAATTTCTATTATAATATCTACGAACATATTTTATAAAAGCAAGAGCGAAAGCAAATTGGATGAATACCTTGAAAGCAACAAGAAACAACCACAAACCACCGCAATTTATTTAATCAATTGTACTTAACTAAAAACAAAACAAAACAAAAAAAAAACAGTGGCAGACAAAACGAGTAAGACCACAAAATCCTTAAAACCAATAAACTATCAATAAACTTGAGAAGAAGCAACAAAAGCGAATAAAGTGAATCGTTCACAACCAATTAAGAAACCAAAATAAAATCAATAAATTAAAAAACATTGAACCCTCTATGATCTTGAATTATTAATGGGGGAAAGGGAATAAATGTGAACAATAGTTTTGGATCGAAGCCCCATAACTCTTAGGTGAAACAATAATGCTTTACATTTGACTAGATTTAGTTTAAGTCAATTTATTTAGGTTGTGTTTTAATTGAAATTAGCTAAGCAATTGTATTCGTTGAGTCATGCAATTGAAATTCTTGGAACTATTTATATAATATAATATTTCGTAATATATTATATAGATATAGGAAACTGTAGGAATTTCGTAGTAAGCTCTATTTGTTCACTATTTTTTTTGTGTATATAAATGCACATAAGTATCTTAGGTATATATGGTAGTGTATAGCATTGAGTGTGCATAGTGGGCAGAAAGTCAACTTTGATTTCTTTGATTTTCGATCGAGTATAGTGGGGAAAAGTGAGTGAGTTGATTTTCATTTGAGTTTGGAGTAAGAGGAACCGTATTGTTTTGAATGCGAAGCTGGCGAACGACGACGCACTTCGTTGAATTTGTCTTCTGATAAAGCTACAATTGATTGAGCACTAACTTTACGTGTGTGTATATACTATATATAAGTACAATTATATGTATCAAAAATGCAATCAACAATATCAGTCTGTTGCCTGGCCAGCAACAACAATTTTCTTTTCTTTAACTCTCCATTAATTTCACGTATAGTATGCTGGCCATAAATACTGCAAAACAAAAAATAGAAGTATTAGGCATAGGAATATGTTTCAAAATACTTATTGAATTTAATATTACTCTATATCCCATTAAAATTCAATTTGGGTTCCCTAAGATTTGAAATTCCCCAAAAAAGCCCTTAAAAGTATGCTATTATTTTTGTTCCAGTTCATGAGTCCTTGGAACGCAACGTACTATTTTTTGATTTCTCATTGTTAGACACCTGCTGAAAAGGGATTTTACCCTATAGAGAGTTCTGTGGCTTCCCGATACTCACCTAGCCTTGGTTTCTACGGCCAGGCAAAGTTGATGCCCGTAAGCTGGTAGAACTTGTTGTTGAAGGGCCGGTAAAACTCCCGCAATCGCTCGATGGCACCGGGATCGATGTGCGGATGATTACGCCCCTTGGTTTTGCCCAAACAGTGGGGCGTGGAGCGTGCCTCCGATTTGAAGAGGCACGGGAAGCCCTTGGTGGCATTGAAGTAGAAGTGCTTCTCGGTGACCACACGTTTCAGGCCGAGAAAGTCCTGGACGCGTCCGATTTCGTAGGCGGGATCCATGATCAGTCGCTCGCCGCTGATGAAGAGCAGTTGCGAGAGCGGAAAGTAGAGCAGCCAGCGCTCCAGGAACCGGGCATAGACGCCGATCTTCACCGGACCCCAGTTGGTGTCCACCACCGAGTAGCTGCCGTTGATGAAGGCCAGCTGCTCGAAGCGCTTCATGTCCGCCTTCTTGCTCGCCGCCTGCGTGTAATCGGATATGGCCCGCGTCACCGGATCCCGAACCACAATCAGCAGTCTATAAGAAAGTTGTATTGTTGATATGATATCAAGTTTATGTATCTGTATATTTGTTTCTGTTTGGATCAATTATTTTTTATTATTTACTTAATCAGTTTTTATGGGTTTGCTAAAAATTTACCAAAATTTACTACTTCTAAGTCTATAACTTTTCTAATTTTAATCCGATTTCGAATTGGCATACATCTTAACGTTTCTATTTGAATTCTCTAAACACCTGCATCATTAGTTAACATTTTATTTTTTGGCCGTTTGTTTTTAAATTTTTATGATACACCCCCTTTTAAAATTTCCCAAAAATGGGCTTACTAAAAATTTAAAAAAAATTCTCTAATTTTAAGTCCATAACTTTTCTCATTTCAATCTGATTTGAAAGTGGCATACCTCTAATAGTTTGTATTACAATTTTTTAACAAACTGCATCGTTAGTTAATTTTTTATTTTTTGCCCAATTTTTTGCCCAATTTTTATGGAACAACCCCTTTGTATCAGTTAGAAGACTCACTTTGTGGCCGGGTTCATGTGGTAGACACGCTGCGGCACCTCCTTGGTGACGAAGTAGCTGGGCGTCTTCTCCATGGTGATCTGGCCCTCGATGGTGTAGGGCATGTGGTGGCGGTACCAGCGCAGCCCGCGCTGATAGTGCCTGTCGAAGAAGTGCACCTCGGAGCCGGCGGCCCGGACATCCGGATGCAGTCGGATGAACTCGAGCAGCGCCCGCGTGCCGCTCTTCTTCACGCCGATGATGAGGGTGTCCGGCAAGTGGCGCGAGGGTCGGAGGCCCTGCTGCCGAAGCAGCTGATACTTGGGCGCTCCATCCAGGCTGCTGGTCACCGTTTGGACAGGAGGAGCACTGGTGCTGCTGGTGGAGGAGAGCCTATCGTTGGTGCTCCCGGTGCTGCTGTTCCTGCTGCCACTGCTGCTGCTCTCACTTCGACTGTTGCCCGCCTCACTGCTTTCGTTGCGGGAGGAGGAGGTCAGCGCCAGCAGATTGCGTAAGTTGCTCTGCGCGGGAGAGAGGTCAGAGGTCAGTGCCACACACAAAAGGTAAACAAAGTAAGCGGTGACGACTTGGGAATACCTTTAGAGAAACTTTGATTGGCATTACCTGTTCTAGAGCTTTATAATAACTTTTAATTTGTGATCAAATTAGTTTGTTTCTTTATTTTGAGCAATGTATAAATGTATATTATATTAAGTGAGTTTAAATTCACATAAAAACAAGTTACTTTTAAGCAACAATACACTTTGAGCAGATAAACACAATTACATTGTAACAGCATACTTATAGGCATATTTTTGTAAACTTGATTTAATAACTCAAAGGGTATCAGTGAGTAACTTCCTTTTCAAATTCAATTTGCAGAACTTTTAAACCGAAGTTAACTACACAAATCCTTAAAAAAAAACCAAATATATTTGCAGTGTGCAAATAAACAACAACTATATAAATTCACTGGGAATGGGAAACGGAAACCAGCTAATCCGCCTACCAAACCCTTCCTTATTGCTGGGCGGCTTGCCGGGCGTTTGTCCTTTATTGTGGGCGGAGCAGACTCACCTGCTGCAGACTGCGACTGATGCTGGCCAGGATGCAGGCGTTGAAGCTGTAGGAGAAGTAGACCAGGGTCAGACAGACGACCACGGCGATGGCCAGGCTGCGGCTACTCAGACTGAGGCTGCTGCACCAGATGCTCATCACAATCATGGCTGGCTGGCTCGGTGGCTGGCTGGGTGCAGGAGGTGGCTCCTGTGCCGCATCTGGTGGATTCTGATGCACACGATGCACTGGCCAGCGATACTTTATCGATAGTCGGCGTAATCAGCGCTGCCACCGTATGTATTTAAATCGAGCAAATTTCGTGGTCGGCTCAGCTCCTTTCGAGTTCATCGACCCGGAACGTGGAGCCTTTTGGTAAGCAGCGGAGTTTGGATTCATTCCGGGATGGGACTTTACGCCGGGATAGCGCACAGGCGCATTAGCCACTCCCTCTCCCAGGATACTTATGCAACTCACAACTCGCAACTCGCCACTTGCCAGCACTCTCCGTTGTAATATCGTAAATATGCACTTCTCGGCAAATCTTTCATAATCCTTTTGCAGTTTTTAATTGCTGTAAGCTTAAAAAAAGGATAATAAAGAAGTTAGAAAGAGGTTAAAAATTTGTTATATTTTTTATAAGTCTATACTCTACATACCATCTTAAAACTATTAAAAATTATAATATAATATTCTCAAATAAAGTTGTTAGAATTTTTTGATAGAAGGATTCATAAAAGTTTAAAAAGTCTGTAAAAGTAATTGGTAAAAAAAGTAATTGGTAAAAGGTAATTGACACCTTGTAAAAATATGGTAAATATTTTATCATTATGTTTAAATTTTGTAAATTTTATAATACAAGTTTAAGGCCGTAATATTAATGTCTTAAGAATCGTTTTATTTTTTAACTCAAATGGCTATCTTATTTAAAGCCAAATATTTTTGAATTTTTTAGGTTTTCCTAAGTAGTTATTACAGTGATTTAGATACCATCTTAATGTTTAATCATCCATGCTCTCTTCAGCCTGGTTTTTCGCTCAATTACTTTTTGCCACTCTCTCTCTGGTTTTTGCTCTCAACTCCAATCAATTGTCTGCTCAAAGGTAAACAAACTAACTAGCAACTCACCCCCGCCCACTTTAATCGCCCACCAACTCACGTACGCCTGATAAAACACCTACCTACCTACTGGAATATAATACAATATTGAAATCAATTTCCCAAGCTTTATCGCCGGACGTTTGATGGCCCGAATTCCCTATCACTATTAGCCATTTAAGATTAGTTTTAAGCCCCATCGAGCGAGCAGAGTCATGGTCTTTCTATTTAAATAGCCCCATAAATGTTCTTGGCATTAGGTTAACATAAGGGACCGTCACTAACTATAATCCATAGCCCGAGGAACTTGTCAGTCAACGGACACCTGTCTATCCGCCTGGGTGGCTAATTCCACTGCGGCATTAGTCACTCACAAAGAGATACACTTGGGAAATATTGATTGCAGAAATACTATATATATTCTATAAAGCTTAAAATATAATTTTGAAACATATAATTTGTAAAACTCAAAAATAGATTAATTAACCGCTAATTTCTTTTTACTGTACTAAAACTCTTTGAAATAAAAATATAATTTCTAAAAAGCCTTGGAAAAAATCTGTGAGAGAAATAATATTTTATGTGGTAAATAAGTAACATTTATAAGTATATTTATTTATTTGTTTGCTTTAACTAATTGTATCAATGTTGTAAACCATTTTTTACCTTACATTTTTGCTGTAAACTCTAAATGAAAAGATTTTAAACCCTAAATAAATATATTTTCCCACTGTGTATCCCTGATCACACACATGCACATGGTCGGCTTATCTTATCGCCAGGTTATCTTTACCGCCTTCGCCGCAGTGGACTCCTCCGCCGGACATTTGCTGGCCCATTTTGGTCTGGCGGCTCATCGTGGGCATCTCCACCATCCACTCTCCACAACTGCTGGCTAAAATGCTCTAAGCTCCTCCGATCAGCGCAGGGAGTCTAATCTTGGTCCAATCTTCGAGTGAAAAAAATGACGAACATGTGGGGCAAACTGCTGCTGAAGTTCTTCAAGTATGCGCCCAGCTATGTGGGTGAGTCACCCAATCGAGGGATACCTTCTTGGGGAAATCCGATTACTATATATAGCCAAATATTCACCCACAGTCTGCCTGAGTTTCCTGCCTTGTGGAATGATCTTTGGCTATACGATCTGTGCCTTTGTGGCGGAGAGGAATCTAAGTGCGGGATTGATTTACTATGGTCCTCTGATTTTGGGAGCCTGCTGGGCGGTAATCACTGCCCTTTCCATGTTGGCGGTGAAGCTCGTGAAGAAGTGCATCGTCTACTGGCAGCCATGGTTGCTTCTCTCCGCCGGAGTCTTCAATCTGATTGCCAGCTGTTTCTACTTTGCCGATGGATTTGGTATGTCATACAAAAACAACGTTATTAGCCACTGCAACTCAAAGGTCTCCCCTTTCAAGTTTTCATTATTTGTTTAATGTAACTGCAAAATTAGCAAGTCAAAAACAATGAACAAACTTAAATACAGTAGAGTTTCTTTAACCGGAAACCTATTACAAAAATTTAAATTACAAACAATAATAATAGCAATAACAAACATTAAACAATAAATAAATAAAAAAAAACAATAAACACTCATGTCCTTTTACCAAATAATAATAAAAACGTGAAAGCAGTAAAGCAGATTTATATTATTAGTTTGAACTTAAATTAGACAAATTCAACTTAAGTAAAAACATAAACATTTCAACTTTTTAAGCTAAAAAATACTTTGTTAAGTTTTCAAAATTTTTAACGTTTTAGTCCAGCTTTCAAATTTTTGTCAATATTGTTTTTTTAAGAACTGTTGTGCATGACACCACAAAAACTGTTCGTTTTTTATTTATAAAATGCGTTATTCTCAGTTGTGATTTTTTGTAAGGATCAATTATCTCGAATTTTTAAAACCTTAACTCAATATTGTGGCTCACTTTTTGTGTTCTTTTTGCAAGTGAGTAAAATACCATTAAAAATTGTATTCATCGATGGTTTTTTTTTGTAAAGGTTGAGGTTTCTTAAAAAACTCCCTGTTTTCTTACTTGTTACCTTTTTGTTTTCAGATCACGTGGGAGCCTACATCTCGTACGTGGCGCACAGCACGACCTTCGTGGCGGGTTACAGTTTCCTGCACACGATTAGCTCCAAGGAGAGTCGTGCCCTGGTGATCTCCGCCAGCTGCAGCTGCTACCTACTGGGTGTGGCATCCGCGGTCAGTCTTATTGTGGCCTCCTACAGCCGGAACGTAGATCAGTTGGCGGGTCAAACGGCGACAACGGAGCAACTGATCGATGGCATCTACGTGAACTTCGCTGGCACTTACTTGAGTGTGGCAGCTGTAATGCTGGCCATTCTGATTGGCCAGAAGGTGCTCCACTTCCTCGGGAACGTGGATCTGGTGAATAGCTTGGACAACGATCTGCGGATTGCCAATTCGAATGGCAGCATTTTCGAGAAGAGATCGGAGGTGATCAAGCGACTGCAGTTCTTCTATGTGACCAAAAACCAGCAGTGGAACATGATGTTGCTCCTCCTCTTCACGGAAGCCGTTCAGTTTGCCTTGTTCGTCTATTTTGTCTACTGGTTCGCCTTGAATCCCGCCATTCGGCTGACCCAGTTCTCTGGCATCGATGCCATGTTCTGGGCGATCTTCGGCGGGAGTCTGCTGGCCCTGATTCCCCAGTGGTTCCTCTCGGTGAAGGTCACCTTTGTGGGCTCACAGGTGGCCCTCTTGTTCTTCACCCTGCTGGCCATGATCCTCTGCAGCGTCACGGAATCCAGGTGGTCACTTTGGCTGCTCCTCGTGCTCTTTGGACTCGCCTACTCCAGTCAGCAGATCCTTCTGCTGGAGGTCACCCACCTGCGGTTCACCGAGTGCATCATTTGCGTCTCCTATGTCCTCAAACTGGTCTGCACCAGCATCGTTTACTTCTACTTTGTGGCGGATGACAAGAATTCCTACTTCTATGCCACCGATTCGAGCACTCTGATGGCCCAGGGATTCGTCTTCTTGATCATCACCGCGCTCTTGGCTTTGGTGGTTGGCATGAAGGTGCCGCGGACCCATCGAGCTCATCTGCTGGAGATCCAGTACGAGGTGTACGGCATTATCTTCATGAAGCACCAGATCGAGCAGCTCAACGTTCGCTGGCTGAACGACGGCACCATTCCCACCATCAATCAGTAGTCGGGATATCATCACAAATGTTTCGGATTTAGGAGTATCCTCTCTTCTGTGGCAGTTCCGATTTAATCGCACACTTTTTATTTTAATCATAAATACTCAGTATTTAATTAACCGAAAATAAAATGAATTTTCAAACGAAATACGGCGACTGAACTGATTTGGAAAAGGTTTTAATAATTGATATTCCTATAATATTTAGAACCTTATGCTGTGCTTTCAGATGTATTTTTTTTAGGAGTATAACAAGAACAATGCCAAAAGTTGGTTCTAAATTCGATGATTTTATTTTGAAGTAATTATTATACTATGCCTATACTATATGCCTTTACTGATTACCTATTATTTGTGAATACAAAAAGTACAAAAAAATCGTCACTGGGGTAAACAAAAATAAGTGAATCATTATTTAAATTAGCAATTTCCCCGTAATCATAGATTTTAATATGTTTCAGATCAATAACCTTGTATTTTGACATTAAACCATAATCAGGGAACACTACTCCTTCGTCATTCAGTTATAAAAAAGTTTTGAACAAAGTTTGGAATGCGTCATACCACTAAAACAAAAAAAAAAAGAAATGCGTATCTGCCTTCCGAATCCAAACAGAATGACAATAAAGTTCTTAAGTGAGATCCAGATAGTGTGTGTTTGTTTTCGTTGGGTTGGTTTATTTTAGGACTAAAAACTAGCGCCGGATCAAGACAATCTGAACGGCGGCGGTGTGATCGCGACAAAAGTGGCTGGCACTCGCCGATATATTTCCACATGGAGTCACCTTGTAGCCACGGAGTTCTGGAAAGAAGAAAGCGAGCATTTAATTAAAATCAATGTGATTTCCTTGGAATACAATCATAAAACTTACCCAACTGGGTCATAAACTTGTTCAGAGTATCCATATTTCGCACTGTGCTGGCCACATAGGTTTCCAAGGCATCTCCTCGCCTCTTGATAAAGAAGTCCAATGCTCCCAACAAAGCGGTGAACTGTGTGTCATCGTAGATCACATCCGCCGCGAGTAGAACATCCACTTCTTTACGGGACTCCCAGGGGAATTCACTGACTTCATTCCAGCTCAGCTGCTCCGCCTGGGGAATCTGTTCCTTTGGAGCATCTGGGAAATTTAAGGCAATATTTTCACGCATCAGCTGGACACAGGGTTCACTGCCATCGGTGAGGAGTACTTCGCCAACATCCAGCTTTAATGCTGGTAGCTTAAAAAGGATGCCCAGTAAACCAGTTCCAGCTCCCAGTTCCACAATATTCTTTCCCCTGATCAAATCGCGATGGTGGAGGAGGTAGTCGCCCAGAGCGAGAGCAGCTTCCCAGGTGCACAAACCGGTGGTTCCCTCGCTAACGAAGCTCTTCGATTCCCGGAGTGTTATGTGGGCATCCGGAGTGAGAAGATAATGCTTGTAGGCATACGAGGTTCCTGGACTCTCCGCCATTCTGGCGCACAGACTGCTGTAGATGTCGTCGTGCAGATCCTCCTGGTCCTTGAGCAACTGCATCAGCTGTTTGAGGAATGCCTCCAAGTAACTACGACGCACTGGATATCGCAGGTTCATCGGATGTCCACAGGTTGCTTCAATTAGCTCCTGCTGCTCCTCCCAATTCAGTGGCAACTTCACGGACTGCAAAAACATATTTTAAATTTTGTTTTTATTTATTTCGTTCGTTTGAAATCATAACAATAATATCGAATATCGAAGCTACAGGTTTTCACTCGCTTTGTTGGCGTGCAACTGGTGGTGTTGCTACTTGATGTTGCAATATCGCAGGTTCCAAACTTACCGACCAGGCCATTTTCTTCACCGGATAGCAGCAGAGGAACTGCTTCTGCAGCTTACTGTACTTTTCCGACATTTTCCGTCGATCCAAGTCCGGTTTTTCCTCTGTTTGTTTAAAATGTTAGTTAGTTCGTATTCGGCCAAACGAAAGTGACAACGTGAAACGCAGCCGGCGCTGAAAGTAATGTGCCCGTGACAGAAACCAACCACTTCATATGGCCTCAAAAAACATATAGGGTATTCCAAGGCACTCGGGGAGTACCTAGATTAATATCTAGAAGGGGTTTGTCTTTAATTTACCCTACAACCCTTCAATAAAATATGTGTTTATATCGAGAATAATTTAAAAATGTTTATAAAATAAAAGTGGTTTTCAAATGATTTTGTTTATTGTAATTTAAATATTTATTAAAAACTTTCTATGCTTTTTTTATACATAGACCGGCATTAATGTTCTCAGATTCAGATTTATTAAATGTTGAGTTGGTCGTATTTTCTTGTTGAGTTATTTATATTGAAAAATTATAAAAATAGAACCTTTCCCTTACTTAATTATTTATTGTTGGGAACACATTTTGCCTAGGTATGTACATTAAACGCCCACGCTTTCCGACACTGGTTATTGCGCGCGAAAGATGGAATTTAAATCTTAAGGTGTTTACCAATTTATATATAATTATAATTTTATTCCATTTTAGTTCCTTTTGAAATAATCGCATAGACTATACCGAATTTAATTTTTTAATTCTAAATCCCACAACATTTTTAAGAACATTTTCAATACATTAATTAAAGGCGCAAAATATTTTTAAATCATTTTTTATTGTTCTCAGGATAAAATAGTTTTCAATTTTTTTTTTTAATAATTCCCTACTTTGGAAAATGTATAATTGAAAAAAAGGTAATATTATGAAGTCATATTTTTTTTTTTGAAAATGTTTTAATTAAATTAGATTGGATTTTGTGTGTTTATTTGGATAAAGTCCCAACTCTGCTGCCAACTTTTGGGCTCTCACATTGCGATCGACCTCCACGTCAAAACAAAATTGGCATGGAAAATTTGGACATAGCCAACCGGCGTCTAAAAGTTTATTTTTGGGGCAAAAGGGGAAAAGGGAGGATGCAAAGATCAATTTCGAGGGTGGTCGAAAATATTGCCTCATCTCGAACAGTGCTGTTAACCAACAACAGCGAACGACATTGCCATTACGTGGACATAGTGCCGATCGATTGGCGCTAGTCGATCCCGATCCCGATCCGATCCGATCCGATCTCCCCATCGTCGGTATTTAAGTTCATAGCGATTCTGTTCTGTTCAGAATCGGTTTAGTTCATTTCCGCAGCTGGCGGCGATGGAAGCCACTGGGAGCCGCGATAACGAGTGCTTGTGAAATGAGATTTTGAATTGGTTTCGGAATCAAACCGAAGATCGCAAAACGCAGATCGAAAGTCGTGGGGATCGGGATTCGTGGAACGCGGAGAGTGTCTACTTTTTAGCATTGGACAAGTCAAGGAGTGGTTCCTACAACCTTGAACTTGGGCCCTATTCCCCCCTTTTGCATCTCAATTAGCTGTGGGCCAGTCAGTCTGCCAGTCATTCAGTGAGTGAGTGAGTGAGTGCATCTCGTAGTGTATCGGTTATAAAAATAAAAACACGACGGAGGCAGCACCCATCGAAATAAAAACTAAAAACCGCTGGCGCAGGAAGAGCTCTACTGCCAATTGGCGCGTTTGCCAAGGAAGATACTATACGGAACCCATTGGGATTACACAGATAGTATATAGGTGAGTGGGCGGGATCGTGATTGGGATCGTGATTGGGAATGGGAATTGGGGGGTGCGACACGTTCCCATCACACACCTTGCACGGGGTTTCTGCCCTGCAATCAGCAAGATGTTCGCAACACCTGATTGATTCCCATTCCCGCGATTAAAAAAGCCAGGAAATAGTGAGTAGTAAAAGCCACAAGGGAGATTCTCAGTGTTTTCACGCGGTGTTTTTGTTTTTAACGCTCTGTGAAAAATGTGATTAGAGCGAAATTCAAGGGCTAGTCAGGTCATTAAACTTTTTTGTGTAGATTTAGTTTCTTTACTACAAAAATTTCGTAGTAAAAATTTGATTCAGATTAACTATTTTGTTTCTTTACTACAAAAAATTTGTAGTACAAATTTGATTGAGATTATAAAACGATTATTTTCAAAATTAATTATTCTAAAAATGTATTTATTTATACACACAGATTTCATGCTTATTTCAAAACCTTATTAATTTGAATTATAGAGACTTCAAGTTTAAAATGTTTAATAAAATATGTTTGACTTTTAAAGAAATGATGTTTGACTGTATTTTCATAATTAATTAACTAAACTTGTAATGTTTGGCATTGACCAACAAATAAAAATTAAAGCAAACAATAGGCTTTTTATCGAAGTTTTAATTTTATAAATAAACAGAAGCTGGAAAAGAGTTGCAGTTGCTTTTCATTGATGAAGTAAAAAATAGGTTGAGTGTATGCGAAAATCGATGGCGGGAAAGTATCAATAACCTAATCGTTGACTCTTTGGAGGGCGCAGTTGGTAGCAAAATATGTTTGGCTCCTAATCGTGGGACTAAAGCCCAAGTTGTCCAGCCATGTAAGCAGTCGTCATCGCAATCTTATCACCCTTATCAATGGATCCATAGTCAGTGGGCTTTGCTTATCTCGATTGGTATCTAGTGCGGTGCCAATTGTTTTCAATCAACTCGAGTGATTGAAGAACCTCGAAGTGTTTAGCAGTCACAATTTTATTGGCAAGAGACCCGAGCATATGGAAGTTTTACAAGCCAATAATGCCCAAAAGATTGTTACGAAACTTATTAAAAATGTTTTCTCTTTATCTATGGTTACACAAACTTGGAAACAAACAGTTTCATTGTTTCTAAAATGAATCTGTCAGTTTGGGGCGACAAATTGTCAAATGAGTTACGAGCGACGTGAAAATGTTATAATTTTGTAACCACTAATGAACATTTGAATGCAAGCGCTGCTTAGCCAGCTGTGCAATAATTATCCAATATTTAAAAGTATGTACTTTCAGTTATCCGTTGGATTGTAAAAACGTGTTGGTTCAACCTCCTAAATTCCGTACCATATATATGCTATACTGTACAGATTACTACCCAAGAACTCTTTAGTTCCAAATGTGATAACTAAGATTTTAATCGATGCTAATTGAAACAATATAAACATTGCCGAATAATATAGAACGCAAACCAATATACTGTGGAATATTTTTAGATAAATTAGGCTCAATTGAATTATTTCTCAAATAGCAATTTCATTTAAGTTTTCAGTTGTTATCAAATTAGTTCTTGGAAAAGATAGATCTTCGGGTAAATGATTGTTCACGGCACAAATCACTATTTGTTTTTGGGGATTTAATTATCAGTAAACTGAAAAGAGGGTCCGAAGAATTTGGCGAATAATTTGTAGGTGATACTAGTAGATGTGAATGCCCTTTTACAATAATCTATCAATTCCAATTTCTGGTCTATTGTGTTGTTTGTTTATTTCTCGGCCATCAATTGATTTATTTCACTACCAATAACCATCACTTGGGGCTGGTTTCTCCCCTTCCCCGACTATTTTCCACCCGATTTCACCACTCGATAATGTGATTTGCACAGCCCAACGCACCGCAAAACTGGACCCGTCCGGAATCCCGGGACACAGCTTCCCATTGATCGTGGCTAATCGGTAGCACTGTGGGATTCAATAACGCACTGCTGATAAGTGGACATCCTACAGACCGGACACCCCTGACCTTCATGATTCACAATTTGCGTGCTAACTTGAAATCAGTGTCTGCGGGTAGCGAAATTTGTCACATGACGCCGCTGATAAGGTTGTCGCAGGTGAAGAATCCCTCGCTCCCATTTTGGAAATCCGCAGATTTCGGAACTCTTGGCCATGAACCCGGTTTTTCGTCCGCTTTCAGATGGCAACAACAAGCGCCACGAATCCCAGATCTCCATTGGTCGCATCTTAACAGCCATTTGGCGGTTAATTGTGACAAGTGATCGTTAGCGTATTGCGCCAAGTAATTGCCGTAAATCATTTACGAACTCGGCCAGCTGCCTTCAGTGGAATTTTCCCCATTTCACTTCCCCATTTCATATTGTCGCCAGGGTCACGAGCATGTGATTTGAAGCCCCATTCAATGATTTACTCCTTCAGATCCATAAGATCTTTAAGGATAGAACTCTACTGTCTTGATAACGGAAAGTTTTGGGTAATACGTACATCGTTTTCATTATCATATCCAAAGTATTATCATTATCATGCATGATATGATTATATTTAACGCTTGAACATATTTGTACCATTTTTATGATTTGTGATTTCATCTTTTAGTTTTTTAGAGAGCCATCGTCATGGAGAAGAAGGTCTACCAGGACACAACCCGACCTCTGCCCAGGGTTTCCCGGACTCGGTACTACAATAGACAAGACAAGAGCGATCTGGGCGAGGACTTTGTGGCGCCCGACGGGGGATGGGCGTGGCTCGTTTGCGTCGCCGCTGGCGTGTCCAATGTAGGTAAAACTTAAACGAATCAAATGTAATATTATAATTTCATATATGTAATTAAAGCCCCTGAATTCACTGTTAAAATAGCAACACAACTATTTAAATTTTCTTAATATCATATCAGGGTTCTTAAACTAAGACATATAGAAATTATAAGCTTGACAAGTTAAAAGAGGTGTTAAAGGATATAGTAAGAAAGCATCATTTTGACCTTAAGATCGACTTATGGATGTATTTACTGAAATTTAAAATTTTAGACATTTAAACAAAACAGGTATATAAAATTTTCTTATATAAGATAAGATTATGAATATGGCTTAAAGTCTCCCATTCCGAATTTCTCTAACAGACTCTCTCCACAGCTCTCCATTTATCCCTGCCTGCAACAGTTTGGCTTCCTGTTCAGGGAGCGGCTCTCCGATCTGGGAATGTCCAGTTCCCAGATCACGGCGATCATCAACACAAATCCGGCCGTATCGGCCTGCACGGGTCTGCTGAATGGACCGATGTTCAGGAGGTTTACATTTCGACAGGTGGCAATGGCGGGAGCACTCCTAATCTCGACCGGCATCGCTCTGACCGCCTTCTGCGAAACCTTTCTGGGCTACATGGTGGCTTACGCCCTTCTTTTTGGTAAATATAAATAACTTCATTTTGAATTTCAAATTTATTGCCAGAATTAATAACAGTATTGTTACAGAAATTTTTTGCATACATGTTGTAAGTTTAGGAGCTTTAGGGAAAAAGGTTTTTGAGTAAGGCAGTTATTATCTGATTGAATTCAATCCTAATATGATTGATTTTGGCCATTTTATGCAGTGTTTACTGAAGAGAAAATGCCAAAAAAATGGAGAATTTGATTTTGCAAAATAAAATCTAGGGGGCCCCCAAAAAATTATGTATGTTTCTTGTTTTTATACAAGGTGTGATTAATTTGGTTTTCATTAGTCAAAAGTCAAGCTAATCAGCTTAGTTTATATTTGTATAAATAAGTACTTAACGCTACTTAATATCAATTATTATATTTTCCCAATCCTCTCAGGCTTCGGAATGGGGATCAGTGTGTCGGCCTCCTCGCTGGCGATCAACACGTACTTCCAGAAGAAGCGCCGCCGGGCGGCGGGTTTCTCGTGGACGATAACGGGACTGGGCCCGATCTTCCTGCCCCATTTGGTCACCTTCCTGCTGACCATCTACGGGGTGAAGGGCACGACGCTCCTCTTCGCTGCCATCTCGCTTCACGCTTTTGTTTGTGCGCTGATCTACCAGCCAGTGCGGTACCACGTGAAACCGGCGGAGGAGCCACCGGATCAGGAGCAGCAACAGCAGCCGGAGCACCTGTGTGCCCATTGTGCCTGGCAGCAGAAGCGAGAGCCCGGGGGCATCTTCTCCAGTCAGTATCTGTGCCAGGATGACGATGTCCAGCGACCAGGCTACGAGATCTGTGAGCCTGGCACTCCGATGCTCTCGCGGGCCAACGATGGTTACTTTGGATCCCGCATGTCACTCACCTCGGGTCGCCTTCGCTTCCGTACCATTTCGAGTTCCAAGGACTTGGAGCAAACCCAGCGATTGCACTGTCCAATCAGCGAAGAGCAAAACAGCGATTCCGATGAGTTCCTGCGACCGAACAACTTTCGGCGGGAGCGCGTTGAGTCCAATTTGGAGGCCAAGTTGTGTTGTCGATGCGCCGAAAAGCGGGAGGAGCACAACAATAATCACAGAAGGGAAAGGCTGCAGGAGGAGGAGGAGGAAGTGGAGATACCTCGGCACGATCCGCAGATGAGTTTCCTGGCCAAGGTGGTGGCCTTTTTCGATCTGGACTTGCTGCGCGATTTCACCTTCGTGAATCTGGTTGCCGGACTCACGATAATTAACTTTGGGGAACTGAACTTCTCCATTCTGACACCCTTTATCCTGGTGGACTTTGGATTCGACAATCCACAAATCACGTTGGCCATGTCCCTGCTGGCGGGATTGGACATAACTATGCGCTTCTTTGTGCCCTTCCTCACCGAGAAGATACCGTGGGACAATCGGGTGTTCTTTCTCATCGGCGTCGTGGGAATCGCCTTGGGTCGAACGGTGGTGGCCTGCACGAGATCCTACAGCATGATCCTCGGCAGCTTCGTGTGGATCGGTCTCTGCAAGGGCGTCCGCACCATCTTCTGGCCACTGATCATCCCAGGTTACGTGCCGCTCAACCGCTTGCCAGGCGCCTCCGGACTCCAACTGCTCATCTCCGGATTGTTCACCCTGATTGGGGGTCCATTTGTGGGTGAGTTATCACTTGAATACACTTATGAAAAACTTATGATACCTACTTACACGAAAAATTATTAAATTGTTAATAATAATTGTTGAAATCAATCATATATACATTTTTTAAAGTTAACATTTTATAATAATAATTTTTCATATTTTAATAATAAGTATCTAAAGTTAAAGTCTGTCAAAAAAATCATTGTTTTTATTAAGGTTCTCAATAATATTTTTAATTCAATTTATTTGTTTTCTCCTCCTTACGTATAGGCTTGGTGCGTGATCGCTATAACTATTCAGTCACCCTGCACTGTCTCAATATGATGTCCTTCCTGGCGGCAGCGTCCTGGAGCCTGGAGGCCCTGGTTCGCAGGTATCTTCGGAAAAGACGATTAGGGGACAGGCGACGAGAGCCCTCGGAACCTTTATCCAACTCAAAGACATAGTAGCACAATAAGAACCTTTTTTTTTGCTAGTTTTTAAGGAAATGTTTTGTAAAATAAATGTACCAAAAGAACAGCTATATTTGCAATCCGTATCCCTAAGAGTTTGCTAAACTGAATAACGCAAAAGATTTTTCAGTTTTGGTTAGCATACTTTTTGGGGTTGCGATTTCTCAGCTTTACTTTCCTATATCGACCATGGCAAGAAATATAATAAATGCATTTTAAATTCAGAAAACTTAAAAATAGTCACTCTTGCTATTTTAGTAGAAATCCGATGATATATTTTATTTTTATTCAATCATACTTACAAGGTAGAGTAGGTACATAGGTACATTAAAATGACTTTGCTTTATTTTAATTTATTTGATCATTCGTTTGTTAATTTTTGCTATATTTTGGTTGCACATCGATTACAACGTTGTCAACCGCCTGACAACCATTAATCTTCGTATAGATTGAAATAGATATAATAGATATTTATACATATAACTACAAACTAGCGAAGGGAGAGCCAGGAAAAAAAAACACAAGGAGTCTACTGAAAAAAAATACAAAAAAAGGCTGCGAATGCGATTGCGAATACGAATCCTTTTGGGAATACAAACTAGGGTCAACTCCACTCCTTTGGTTATCGGTCCTTGGATAATCCTGGTGCTCTTCTACTGGTTTATAAAGCTACCAAATGCGAAATACTCTAACATTGATTCGGGATCGGAATCGAAATCGATATCGGAATCGGAATCGGGATCTCTTATCGTAGCACTTCCAAGGACTTGGCTCTAAATCTAGGTTATTGCATCCTTGGTCCTTCGTCTTGCTTTTGTTATCGCGGTTGGCTGTGGATGTGGCCGTAAGGGGCGGGGTGGCGGGGGAAATATATTACAATAGGTGTGGGCAGGAGGATGAGGCTCGGATTTGACCTTGGTCCGACCTCTATCTTGGCGAAGGCGACATCGTTGACCGCGCTGTTGGTCGCTGCAGCGCAGCCGCCGTCGGCGCTGCCGTCACAATCGTGTTGACCTGTGGTGGTGTGTGTATGTATGCAAGTGTAAGTGGTGAAGTTCATGAAGTGCAATGAATATGGTGAGTTCGATTGGTTGTTGTTCCGTTAGTGCAGTGTAATGCGTGGTGAATGTGGGGGCGATGGATGGTGTGGAGTGCGGTGGAGACAAGAAAGAAGCTCGATTACATGTCTAGACGAGGTGAGTTGCGATTTACTTTGGAATTTCCATCGATTATCTCCACGGGCTCCGCGGGCACGTAGGATGACAGTCCCATCAGCCCGAAGATATCCGGCGTATAGTTGCGCACCTGCGACGAACTGGTGGGCGTGGCCGACTTCACTTCGCCAGCTAACGGGATTGGATAAAACAATAGGTAAGTTTTTAGTGGATAAATTCCAGCTTATCCTTGGCTTTAGGACCAAATTGTATGAAGAATATAGTAAAAGAAGTAGAGTTCACCACTTCATCTTACCTGGAGTGGGTCGCATCCGTGGAAACCGGGGCGCTGGCGTCTGGTAAACTGGCCTGGGTGCCGACGCGGATGCCTCGTGGCGTTCCCCCTCCCTCAAGCTCTCCGCCTTGCCCTCCCGGCTGCGGTGCTCCTGGTGCCTCGGCTGCGGCGTGACCACGTAGACCTTCTCGTTGGTTTGCGGCAGGATGGCCACCTGGGCCTGGTTCCACAGCTCCTTGGGCGTGGGAGTGCTGCGCACGTAGAGCGGTGCCACCGCCGGCGTCGTTGAGGTGGTGCTGGTGGTGGGTGGTGCATCTGTGGTGGTGGTGAACCCTGGACTTCCTTGATTTGTGTTCATTGCTGGCGTGGATCTTAGACGATGTTGACCATCGTAGTAATCAAAGTGCAGGCGATTATCGTCGATGGGCTGGAAACCCTTTGATCCCCGTTCGCCAAGCAGATGCAGTTGCTCCAGGTTGTTGATTGAGGTGGACAGATCCCCGGCATCGGTGGGCGGAGCACCGCCCAGTTCGAAACCCTCACCTCGCGTGGTTTTCGATTGGCGCTGGCTGTGACCCACCGAAATGGGCGGCGGTGTGGTTGTGGTGGTGGTCAGGTACTCGGATGGGATGTGCTTGGACCTGCCCCGGATCGTCGGTGTGCTGGGTCGATGCGAAAGGGAATTGTACTCCTGCTCGGTCCATCCATCGATGTTGTGCTGCAATCGCATGATGTCCACACCCAAAACCTGACCGGCTGGTTGCCTCTTCGTTTCCCGCTCCCGCTTGAGCAGCTCCCTCAGGTTGGAGGCCAGGATCTTGGTGAGGTACTTGGTGGTGCGGCGGGCATTCGGTGGTGCCGTAACCGTAGCCGTGGCCAGCTTGGACTCCTGCTGTTCGTGGGGTTCCTCCTCCAGATCGTTGCTGTGATGGTTATGGTGGTTACCCTGGTGGTTCCCTGGGTGATTACCCTGGTGGTGTTGCTTTGTGGGCGTCCAACTCTCGAAGGGGCGTGGCCTCTGCTTGGTGGTGTAGGGTATGATCACCTGCTGCGGACTCGGCGGCGACATCCCCGCAAACTGGCCACTGGCATCGATGGCTCCATAGGTGGAGGTGGGCGTGGGTGGCTGCGTGGGCGTGTACACCTGACTCACCCGGAAACCCAGATCAGCGGGGTCGCGGGTAAAGGGTCGTCCACCCGCATGGTTAATCGGTGAGTCGAGCAGTCGCTTTGGGGTCTCCCTTCCCCTTCCGATTCCCTGACGGAAATTGTGGTTCTGCTGCACTGCAGCCAGGTGGTTATTCAACTCCACAGCGGGCGAGGATGGAGGTGGAGCCGGCGTCGTGGTGGTGGGTGGCAACTCCGTGGTGGTGCTGTACACCAGGGTGCTGGTCTCCTCCGGGAACTGCTCCGCGTAGTAGAAGTTCTGCTCCTGCTCCTGCTCCTGATCCTCCTCCTGCTGCAATTGCTGTTGCGACGAGGCAGCTGGATAATTATCCGCCGGCGGTGGTTGCGTGGTGCTATCCGCAAAGTGACCAATCTCCGTGAGCAACTGGGAGGCGGGCAGATGCTGATGCACTTGGCCACTGCTCAGATCCTCCAGCTGATACCGCACCGTGCTGATGTCCACCTGGGGTTCCTCCGCCGCAATTCCACTTCCCTGATTGCCACTCGATCCCAAATCAATGGCATGCGATTGGACAAAGGTGGCTGGGTACTCCACGGAGGTCACGAAGTCCGTCACCTGGTGGCTCTGCACGATCTCGAAGTTGCTGGAACCACTGGGTGGTGTTTGTGCAGCTGGTGGTGCAGCAGTGGGTCGTGGCAGGGAGACTGGAACGGGTCGCACCTCCGACTGGGCCACGGCGTTCTCCTTCGGCGGACGGAAGGGTTGGGCTCCATAAAGCGGCGGCAATGGCACCGCCAATGGAAGGAAGACACCTTGGCTGGAACCTGGACGGAATTGCACCGCTCGCTGGCGTTGCTGGGATGCCTGGGCCAAGGGCTGCTGCAAGTTCCAAGTGGCAGGTTGCTGTTGCAAGGGAATGTGCTGCAGTTGCTGCTGTTGTGGGTTAACGTGCTGCAAATGTTGCTGTTGCGGAGGAACATGCTGCAACTGTTGCTGGGTAACTTGCTGCAATTGTTGCTGCGGAATATGCTGCAGTTGCTGCTGCTGCACTTGCAACTGTTGCTGTTGCTGTTGCTGCTGCTGCTGGTGCGGAGGAGCATGCCCCACCATGGGCACCCAGGGATACTTGTTGCACAAACTGCAGGGCTTGCCACCCGCATCGAAACCAGAAGCTGGCTTTGGATAAGCGTAACTCAGCGAATTGCTGCCACTCAGCTGCTGATCCTTGGTGGACTGACCAGCACCACCCCCAGCACCACCACCGCCGAGGCCAAACCACCTGGCCACGCGGGTCATGAAGCCAGCCTCCGGATTGGAAGGTGCCACAGAGGATGTGGCAACCGCTGGAGATCCTGCACCCGCGTGGGAAAGTCTTTGGGGAACGGGAAGTGGTGGCGGCACCAGATGATCCGCCGGTTGGGCGGGCAGGGATGAGCCTCCTCCACTTCTGGTTAAAGTTTGTGAACTGGCAATGGTCAAGCTGGAGGCCAAAACCAAGGTGAGAAGGCTCAAGCAACGCGTTCGCCTTTGGAGAGCCTGCGAAAAAAGAAGAGAGGAAAGGAGTTAATCCAATTAGCTGTCAAATTTCACTTTCCATCCCATAAATCCAGGCCAGACGCCAACGCTTCAGATATACAGATATATATATATAGATATATAATATAGAGAGCAGGCAATCCGGTTGCGCACCGAGATGAAAGATGTGCCACCAGTCGGGGCAGTTGGTCCAGTTCGTTTGGTTAAGTTGGTTTAGTTGGTTCAGTTGGACTGGCAAATCGAGAAAACCCAGGAAAAAACAAAACAAAATGACAAGGTCGAGCGAAAAACAATTAAGCATTTGGAGAAATTCGAGACTTAATTACCTTTTGGGGATTTAATTAATAATGAGTTGTTCACACAACAAGGACAATTTTAATTATTGAAACAAACGAAATAATATTACATTCAAACTAGTTATAATGAGTTTTATCGAATTGCAATAAATTAATCATTTTGCTAATAAGCTAAAATAAAAATAAAAACCATTTTTTTGTTCTAAAACCGAAAAACCGAATCCGAAATATATTCTTTTAATAAATATAATATTATGTTTAATTGAATTTTTGTTGGTCAATTAAGTTTTGATAAAATAAAACATCGATATTTCCGATTTTTAAATTGCGTTTGTTTTTTATTAATCTACTGTATACATATCAAATTAACTTTAAAATAAAAGCACAAGTCAAATAGTTGACATTGCGTAAATTTCCCTCAATTTACTGATCATCTGGCTTCGCTATTGTCTTTTCCAATTGTCGTAGAATAACGCAAGAAACGAATCACTATCAGGTTTTAGACCAACGATAATGGCATTTAAATTGAAAGACTTCCACGAAATGATTACTTCGGTGCCCGCCACGCAAACAAGCTGACTAAACTATAAAATATGTCGTGGCGAGATAAAGACCCAATTATCAAGTGGGGAATATGGGAACTCCTTTATGGATGATCATAAACGAAAAGCAAAGTTTTCCACTTAAACTGAAAATTTCAGTTGCGGAAAAATTTGCAATTGGTCTAGCTGAGTTTTTTTATTACTGCCAAATTGGCTCCACATTTTTATTAAACCGGGATATTTTTGACATTTTTAATCGATTGGTAATTTTGTGGAAACTATAACCCCATTATAACCAATAAGGATTGGACTTTTTTAAGAGAGACATAAAAGTCAGTATTTGTTTTTTACATTTTTTACTTCCTTAACCACAAAATCTCTGTAAAACGTACTTTTTTTTATAAAAAATTTTTAGGACTTATAATTTCTTGTATTTCTTCCTAACGTAATCGCATTAACTTTGGGAACTATAAACCACAAATGTAATGTTTCATATATTAATTTTGAGATTACTGGGGAAATATTTTATGAAAACATTCCAGTGAACAATTGCGGTTGAGAATTGGACTCCACTTTCTCCAGATTTGTTGGTTCGGAAGATTGGGGTTGGGTCGATGATGGTCACTTGTCCAAATTGATAATTAGCCAAGGTAAGTGGCCATCAGCTACTGGCCATCGCCCATTTCCCCCTCCAGTTTCATCTTCTCCGCTTTCCTCACCAACTCACTTCCTTCCACACAAAAAAACGCTCAACCGCAACGAAATACATAAAAATCCAGGGTGATGACTTCCTTTCCACTTATGTGCATCTCTAAACGACAATTTGCCATTATTTATGGCCATTATTATCGTCCGCTGATTTATTGCCAGCTGGCTGCACTGCATCCGATTCGAACTGACTGATGGTCATCGCAGAGCCACCCCCTCACAAGGTCGCCCGAAGGTCAACCGATATCTGCGAAATTGTGGGAAGTCTTCGAGAAATCACGAGAAAATTTCAGGTGTGGGAATTAGGATTCTGATCGGTGGAATACACTCATTTTTGTCTTTTAAATGAGAATGTGTGTTATGTTTCTTCAAATATGTAGAAACTTTTTTCAGAGCTTAAATAATTGGATTAATGAATTTAAAGTGGGTTTTAATAGCAATGTAATATTTCATATTTAATTCAAATAAATTTACAGATGTCTGTAATCTGCAAAAAGAATTATAAAAGTATTTAATTTTGTATTTATATTTTAAGTTGTTTTCAAATTTTAACAATTTCTCTATTTATCACACTCAATGTTGTGGAATTGTTTGCTTAAAATTGTAATATTAATGAAAATTAATAATTGTTATACTGTATTTAAATTGTTCAAAATAATATTCAAAGTATTTTTAAACATTTATCTTACTTTCGACTGTGATTCATTTAAAAATTGTTGTTTTATCTACCCGTAGAAGAAGCTAAAATCTTTTTGCTAATTACAATCTTTTGTTGGTTTCTATGCAAATCTTGTTTGTAAAAGGGGTGCTATCTTCAAAAGAAATCGAGGAGAGATGGTCGTCAATGGAGTGCCATGATCCCTAGACCCCATTTCCCAGTCCCCCAGTGAGCCGGCAACTAATTATGTGAAAATTAGCTCTCATTAATGTGAGTTATCAATAAGCAGCCAAAAACGGAGACAGCTGAGGGGCCAACAATGGGCGTTCACTTTCCCATAATTATTATTATTTTATGTGTTTATTCCGCCCGTTTCAGTGACTCTTATTTGGGATATCCAAGTCTTCATACTTCCACGTAAAGCTGAAGCTTGAGCAGAGCAGAAGCAGAAGCAGAAGCTGGCTGGCTCTTTGGGACCCAACGTAATTCAATTAAGTCCGCCGACTGGCGGTATGGGCATCAAGAAAACAAAGGCAGATCGGATCCGCGGGGGCCCACTAATGCCACCAAAGCCGATGCCAAAGACTCTGAGCCAGAGCCAGAGCCACTGCCAGTCAATCCCACTCGGTTGGAATCCACCTCGTCCACATGGCGATGTCGCTGGGTTGGCAATAAATCGAGGTCGCCGCAATTTGAAAAGAAAGTGAAATTCTGCAACTGTTGGCAAACAACCGAGCAGCTGACGGATGGAGGAGTCGTCTCCTACACTCGGAAAATATTTATTTCAATTGTACTATACTTTACATCAGTAGCAAATGGGTTACAAATAATTAGCTCGTTTATAAAGCCCTCTATGTAAATAAATACTTTGGCAATTTTAGCAGAATATTTGCAAACATTTGATTCAAACAAAAAAGGAAATAAAAATTACACAGCCACACAAAAAAAAAAAAATTTTCGGGCCCGGAGGTCAGACCATGTTTTCTATATGTTTTCAGGGTCGCTGAATCCGAATCCGAGGTCCAAAAAACGCCAGCACGTCAGGGTTCTGACATAACCTCAAAAAACCTCACACAAAATTATATTCGAGTCCGTGGGTCAGACCATGTTTATTATATGTTTTCATGGTCGCTGAATCCGAATCTGAGGTCTAAAAAACTCCAGAATGTCAGGGTTACGACATAACATCAAAAAAACCTGGAGTTTTTTAGACAACGGATTCGGATTCAGCGACCCCAAAAACATATGGTAAACATGGTCTGAGCCCAGAACTCGGAAAATAAAAATTTTATCAAGTTTTTGAGGTTATGTCGTAACCCTGACATTCTGGAGTTTTTTAGACCGCGGATTCGGCTGCAGGGGCCCTGAACACATATAATAAACATGGTCTGGCCCACGGACTCGAATAAAATTTTGTGTGAGGTTTTGTGAGGTTATGTCAGAACCCCGACGTGCTGGCGTTTTTTGGACCTCGGATTCGGATTCAGCGACCCTGAAAACATATAGAAAAAATGGTCTGACCTCCGGGCCCGAAAATTTTTTTTTTTTTTGTGTGGCTGTGTTATTGATGCAAAACACTTTTATAAATTAAAAAAAGCGTATAAGATCTGCATACATAATTTTATTTGAAATAGGTTATCTTAATAACAAACATATTATATGTTATAGAACTTGAATAGAACTATCTCTTATTTCCAGTTGAATAACTTTTACAGAAAGAGTTTATCTCCTTATAAAACTGAGGTAACATTACCAAATTTTTCGTGCTATGTAAATTCGACTGTACTTCAGTTCTTAAGCCAGCTTGTCTCTTGTTGTTTTAGTATAATTTGAGCCCTTCGGGCTGTGTTTTTGGCACTGTTTTCTCCGAGTGAAGTCGCCAGCCAGAGTCTGGGTCTGGATCTGGTCTGGGTGGCTTGGTCTTGGTCTTGGTCTCGGAACTCTGGGAACTCGAGGCAGGGAGACAGGGCCGCAAACTCGTTTCGTGTCGATAATAAAAGCAACTCCCGCCGGAGAGGATTCGCGGCCACATGCAACCTTGGCTTTGCACTTGAAAATGGCAAAAAAAAAAAAAAGAAAAAAAAAGAGACTCGCGGGGCCCCAAAAGCCATAGGGTTTGACAAATGGGGGCCCTGAAAATCCGGGGAACTGCACGCGATCCAACAATGTGCTTGGGAATATTTTTGGGGGCAAATAACCAAACCGCAATTGTTGGCCCGTCATCACATATGAGATACCGACTTGCCCCCCTCGCGAATCCCATTTTTTTCCTCCGGTTTTTTTTATTTCCAGCTGCATCTTCGCTCTTCTGCGGCTGCGCAAAAGTGAAATTGTCGATAAAAGTTGGGGGATCTTCGGCTGTTCAGCGGGGCGGGGATTAAAATAAAAGAAAAACGCAACAACAACAAAAAACTGTCACAGAGCGGCAGTAGGTTTTCCAAACAACAACAAAAACAACAGCAAACCATGAGTGTTTGCAGCAATATTTCACTTCTGCACAACACAAAAGCCAAAGAAATTAATTATGAAAATATACTCATATCGCATGCGGCCGTTGAAAATATTACTGCAAAAAGGAAAAGAAAACAGGCAGCCAGAAAAACAAAACAACAACAACAAAAAAAAAAAAAAAATATAAATAAAATAAAACAAAGTAATGGCAACAACAAATGCCTTTTTTTTATGGGCCGCAAGTCGTCAACCGCCAGCGGACGTGGCGTTGGAAATGCAGATGGATATGGATATAGATATGGATACGGGGATGGAAGAGGGGATGCAGATGGAGATGGAGATGGC